CTACCAGAATTGCGACGAAATCGTGGTCCGACGGCAGATCATTGCCAGCAACAACCGCAATACGTTTACGATCAACGGAACGGCAATGCCGCAGACAAAGGTACGGCATCGAGTATAAATTGATTTCGTTCGCCTAGGTTGCTGATTTCTTCCGTGCCATTGGCCTCAATGTCAACAACCCGCATTTTTTGATCATGCAGGGCCGAGTGACGCTGGTCATGAAAATGAAGCCACCGGAGGTTGGTGTACATTATTTCGATCTAAGAATTTTTATTTAGATCTTGGGAATGTTGGAAGAGGCAGCCGGCACCAAACTCTATGATCAGAAGCGAGACGCGTGCCTCCTTACCATGCGGAAAAAGGAGGGCCGAATCGGAGAGATTGAGCAGGTAATTTTTTCTGTTTGTATCTTATTCTGTTCTTTTTTAGTTATTGAATGACGACATCCTCCCAACCGTCCAAAAATTGAAGGATGATCGCACAAATTATCTGAGCTGGCAAAAGTTTGTTCTGTTTCTCGGTTTCAAAAAGCTCTCAGGATCGGGCGGGAGATCGAACTTGCTGAACGGCGGCTTCAAGGATTTATCTTTTACCAAAGCAAGATCGATGAACAAAAATACAAGAACAAGGGTGAAGCTGTCCTGAAAAGCATTGAGGCTTCGGATGAAAAGGTATTTTCGGCTTACCAGAAATAATTTTTGATTTGTTTAGACGGCTGAGTTGGTGCGCCGAGAGGCTGAGTTGGAGCGGCAAAGGCAAGAACTAGAAGAGGAAAAACTGCAGGTATCTAATTTTTCAGGTTTTGAAAAAATATGGTTTAGTCTGAAAAGAATGGCACCGGGGAATTGGAGGGCGAGCATAAAGCGGCCAGCGATGCTGTGGTAAGTCATTTTGATGCTGAAGAAATAATCTTTCTTAGGCCAAAGTGGAAAGTGATATCGATGCCCTGAAGGCTCGGCTGAACCAGACTAAGAAGAACATGGACCGCGAGGAGAAATCGATGAAAACGGTTTTTTGCTCTTAATTTTTGGTTATGAATTCGATTCTAGGATGTGAAAGAGCTCGACGTCCTCAAGCAGCAGTTGGCCGAGATGGAGAAGGACAAGGGCGACGAGGAGAAGCAGGACAACGAGGCCAAGGAGCGCTTCGACAAGGCGCGAAACCGTCTCGCGGCCATCAAAGAGGGAAAGACCACCGATGAAGCCGGAAATGCGATCACTGTTGAGGCGCAGATCAACGGTGCGTTTGTACGCCGCGTCGGGTCTATCTTTAATTTTAGGCTGGGCCTCGGAGCTGAAGGAGTTGCAGCATAAGTTATCTAATGATGATGTTCGGTTGGTTTTTGCATATTAATTTACCGTGTCCTGTAATTTATTCAACCTTGATTTATAGACGCGGACAGCTCACCAATGGCCTGGAAGAAAAACGTCGGCGACTCCAAAAAATGGGCAGGCAGTCGACGGATTATCAGGGTGAAATTCTGAGGCTCAACGAGGAAAAGCAGGAGTTGAAGGTGCGGATAGAAGGGCCTTGCATACGAAGCCTTTTTTAGGAGCAGATGAAGGAGTTCGGCTACGATCCTGACCTACTGGCCCAGAAGGAAGAGGAGCTTCACTCAACGCAGGTCGATCTCCGCCGACACGAGGAGCGAGAGCCGACGGGAGCGCACGGTTCCAGCCTCGCTTTTCAATACTACCGCCAGGGCCTGCCCGCGAATTTCCCCCATGAAAAGGTTTTATTACGCACACTTGAAAACATCATGCTTTTTTAAGATTCTTGGTCGCGTCGCAGAAAATTTCGAGGTCGTCGATGATCGTTTTTACACTGCGTTGGACACCGGTGGTGGTGGTGCGGTGGGTTTTGGAGGCTTTTTCTTCTATTCGAAGGAGATTTGAACCCTGGCTCTGTGAGTAACGCTGCTGCTCGTTTGTCTCCATTGTTCTCTGTGGCTGCCCTTTGGTCCCCTATTTCCTCTTCTTTTCAAAACTTTATCCGAAAACACGAGGGTAGGAAACGAAAGTTATCGATTTTAGGGGGGCGAGAAACTACTAATTACATACTGCACATTCGGGGGCTCGGCTTAATGTTTGACAATGGCGCTGGATGGGGGGAAAGAAATTCGATAGGAACCGCTATGAAGCTATGCAGCTTCGAGCTGTTTAATAGCAATGGGGTCTTTTGATAGGACGAAAACCACCAAGGAGATCTGATCAGGATCAACTCTGATGTTTGGAATGAGAGGGGTTTTGAGATACAAGCTCAAACGGCTGTTGAAATGTTCGTCTCCGGCTGACTTCGGTTAGTGTGATTGGCCGGTGATGGGGCACGTGTTGTGTCTCCTGGCATCCGGGGTTCTCGGTAGAAGACATATTCGGTGTAGTGGGCCCATCTTTGCTCCTCGTAATCCCCACTGTTTCGCAAAGTCATCAAGTCCTAGAATTAGCGCTTATAATGAGTTTTCCTCTTTGGCCTGGCTCGTTCGATAGAACTAGAAATTCTGGTTAGGTCCGGGCTTTAAAAAAACTGCTGTACGAGTACGATATTGCCTTTTTTGAGGTGCAGTTTTCTGACCGCGCGAAAAAAGGTAAATTTCGCGGCTTATTCTCGAATGCTGTCATTGTTCAGCAGTTTTTTTTAATATGGGGCTTGCCCAGAATTCCAAATTCTATCGAAAACCAAAAACGACTCCTTGCCTAACTAGAATCTCGGAGACCCACTTCTCACTAAATTTGTAAACATACAGCTTGGGTTGTAGAGCCAGACTGGCTTGTTGGTGGATTTAGCGCTGCCAAACCATTGGCTCCACTGCAGCAAGTGGCCACCAGTTTGAAACCTTTTTCGGCCATCGCATCGCATGCCTAAAATACGCCAATTCGAGATGCTCGGCGTATGCTCATTGAAAAACCGTCTTTAACAAAAAGCATTTTCAAGAATCAGGATTTCGAAAAATCGGCTCTGATATTCCTCATCCCATCTGCCCGTTTCCGTTGGTAGTTGAAATCATGATTTTTCAAAGGTTTTAAAAAAATTGTCGAGGAAATCGTCTTACCCTCTCCAGACATTGGTGCTTCAAATAGAGCCTGGACGTGTAGCGCTCACTGCCATCCCGATCCCCGGGATCACGACTTTCATTTAGTGTATCGGCGAACACTTCTCGGCACAGGGCCACCTTTCCGCAAACCAGGATACGGTGTAATTTTCTGAAACCGCTTGCTTCTGGGCCTTCGATCCAATTTTTTACCTGAATTTCACATCGGCTTGCCCGTCTCGGCCGAAAGCAAACGTTCCTCGATATCCCAGTGTTATATAACCGCCTTAAACAAGGTTTTTCAAAAGTAAATTTAATCTGTGCTATCTTTATTAGTTTTTTTAGGTGAAAGATTATTTTTTGCACTGACCTGTCTCCGCTAATCCGGCTACATTGCCATTAGCAAGGTTTGTAACTTTTAACGATGTCCTTGGCGATAGATTCGAGTCCACCTCGTCTTGTAGGCCTTTTAAATTGAAATAATGAGCCTCGTCCATCAACCGGCCCGCATCCTAGAATTTCACGATTTTCCACCCGGAAATCCAACCCACTTTAAAATCTTCTGGTAGGATAAGTTTCCCGGAGCGCATGTACTGTAGGATGTAGGTGAACATTTGGCCATCACGGTCAATAAATATCGACCCGTCTTCGAGGTGTACGATGGATGGGGTCTGAGAAAAGGAATCTTTCTTACCTAAAATTGGGGGCCTACCTCCTCATCGGAGTCGAGCACTCGCGAGAATATGGATGACGGGTCGCGTAGCAGGGTAGTGCGCGTTGTGCAAAAAAGGGTCCCACCGACATTCAGGCGGACGACATCATCCATTTGTCTGGAAAAGAATATATTAGTCTACTGGGCAGTATGGTGCTGGACTGTTAGCGGGGGGAGAGCTAGCCTATCCATGCCCAGAAAAATTCTTCGGAAACCTAGAAGCTTTCTTGAAATTTCGGTCTAAACCTGGAATTTATATGACGTATTTTTAGTAGTGTGATTGCAAAAAGATATGAAAATTTTCAAGAAACTTTGGTTTTTTATAGAAAATCATAATTTCTTAAAATTCAAATTTTTGTATGAATTTCTGTACTTAAAAAGCTGCTGTTTTTGTCTATTGCTCGTTGCCTACGGAGGCTATGGACGAAAATTTAGGTGTCACCCGCTAACAGTCCAGAACCACAAGTTTCCAGCAATCAATCGCAAAAATGAGTGGAAATTAGGCGCCTGATTTGGGCAGAGATGAAGATTACCTAACCTCTAATTTCATGCAAGCTACTCATTTACTTTAGCGCGGTGCCCCTGCCGCGCATAATTTCCGAAACAATCCCTCGCTAATTGCCACCGTGGGGGCCGGAAAGGCGGAATAGGCAAAAGCCCCGTGCTGCGGTTGACGCGGGCGAAATTAGAGTTGTGCCGACCGAGAAAGCATTTCGCGCCACCGATTGAGGAAGCAGATTCAAGCAGTCGAGTTGCGCCTCGGGTTTTGCCGCGAATCCGTGCAAAGGGAGAAACAGCCGTGTGGCTGGCCCACGAGACGAGGATAATCGAGCATCGTGCGTCGCCCCTCAGAAGGGGGACGTTTTTGGCTTAGCGTGAAGAGGGGCGAGATGCCGCCATCCCTATTCTCTTTCCATTGCCCTTTTTTTTGGCCGGGCTGTGTGGGCTATACCCCCGGCGGCCTTTCTTTGGGTACCAGGAATGGGGGGAGGAGCAGCGAAAATGTTATAGCTGCCATTTGTAGGGAAACGATGGCTCGATATTGTGCTTTTTAACGAGCTAATTTTGGGGAAATGAGTCGTTTCGAAAAATTTGAAAGAGCACACGTTTTGAAAAGCTTCTCTCAGGATAAAAGACGTCTTCAGGTCGCGCTCACATAGCCAGGGTTTTTGAGTTTGAGAAGCTTTTGAAAGAAAAAAAATTCATTAATATCCATTTCAGATCCACCAAGTGATCGTCACCGAGCAGAATGTGGCCAAAATGCTGATCGACACCCGAGGCGCGCTCCCCAGCCGCACCCATTTTCTGCCCCTTGACCGTATCGAAGCCAGAACGTTGCCCGCGAAAACGGTCGCCGAGGCGAAGAAAATTGTAGGTTTGGCAGGCGGCTCAGGAGTTTTTGTACGAAGTTTAGCTCATTTTATAGAGCTTGTAATTCCGATTAAGCCCTATCTTTCAAAAAATTGTTATTAAATTGGCACTGAAAGGGTAAAATTAGCCCATTTTTCTCCCCGTTTAACAAAAATGGCAATTTGTGAATCTTTTCCTTGTAGCAGCGTTTGGAAGCGTTTAAAAGCCAGCACTTTTTAGAATTACAAGCCCTATCGAATGGGTTATGAAACATCGCAAAACGTCATTAGCTCCTAAAACAGCTCATCGTGAGACCCTTTAAATTTGCTTTTATCGAAATCTAGGGATTGCCCAGGGATTACTCTCGAGCTTTTCTCGGGAAGCGTTCTGCCCCGCGCCGGAAATGGCCCCTTTTTCTTTTGTAGAGTTATTGACTAAAGCGCGGTGGGCCATCGTAAAGAAATGGTGTGGTGGCTGGGGCTCCAGAATAGGGGGCCCTATTTTTTGGGGGGAGGCACCGGGTGGGGGCTATGGCATTTCCGCCACCACCAGGAAGGCTGCTGCGGCGCGAGGGCACGGCCCGAAAACAGCTAATGAGAACGACGAGGAAGAAGTGGCGATCGCTGGAAAACAGACGCCCATTGAGAGTTTGGACAATTGTCGGGACATCGGCTCAGAAAGAGGGAGGGATGCTGCGAATGTGCTTCTCAATTCCCGGGTGGCCAGTCGCCACCGCCGCCGAGGCCCCCGGGGTTCCCAGCCCCATGTCGGAGCCCACCGGGCCGTCGACCCGTTGTTTTTTGTGTCCGCACCCCCCTGCGGTTAAAACGCGCCGCCCCGGCTTTAAAAGTAAAGCGCATGGTTTCAGCGCACAAAACTAGCAAAAATCCCGGACTTTCGGGGTCTTTTAGAATTCTTCGGTTCATGCATTTTAGAGATCGGTCTGGATTGACGTTGCTAAATATATTCTGAGAGAAAGTCGCGCTGTAATCTTAGGTGGGAGGTCATTTGCACGGCGAAAGTTTTGCGGGCGTAGATTTCAGGGGGGAATTCGGCTGATTTTTCCTATAAATAATTTTCCTACTTTTTCTAAACCCTAACTGTTTCGGAAATTTTACCGGACCATCGAAGCGACAACAAATAGCAGAACAAGTTCAATGCCAAACATACATAAAAATTTACGAAAGCGGAAAACTTACGGAAAATTAACCTAATGCAGAATTTTAGCGTCTAGGCAAAAAGTAAAAATTTTTAGCGTCTTTTCCCTGCGAAAGCCATTAACTTTCTAAAGAAAAGCGCCCCAGAAATGTCTTCCGCGCCGTAATTGCGTTTGTAGGGGTGAGCGGGGGAACAAATGAACTCTTGCACCCGGCTACTTTTGACCCTATTAAAATACGCATTTATCAAGCGCCTTACAGAATCAAAATCCCCTCGAGGGCCCAGAGCTGTTTTTATGGCGCGATGGCCGGGGGATGCGGTCGCTGGGGACTGGTTGGGATGAGCGCTAGGCAGTCGGGAAACTGGTGATGTTGGCGGGAAGAATTATGTGGCAGCTTGGAAGAGAATGGCGAACAGATGAGGGGGAGACCCCCGCCTGGGCCTTAGCTCTGAACTGGAGGAGGGGGAGGGGGCGCGGAACGAATGGGGGCGGGAGAGTGGCCGGCTCTGGCTCTCCTCACTTCGGTTTCCCTTCTGGAGGGCCAGAGGAGTAAGGGCTTGGGGGGTACCCATGTGCCGATGTGGGCCGTCGGGACGGCAATGCACATCATCATCTCGTCGAGTGTTCTTATCCCACTTCACATCTGGGGAATTTGAGAACCCGCTTCCGGATGATGTTCGGGGTTTTGAGCATGAGCGCGACAAAGTCTCGAGGCTTGTCGTCGTCCGAGTTTTCTGGGAACGGCTTTTGGCTCTTAGAATATTCGGTTCCGATTCTGGCGCTGTGCAGCCCGACACGGGCCCTGCAGCATTTTCGGCCCGATGCTTGCAGCCCCAAAAACTTTTTTTAAGCATTATTAGAGCCCTTTTGGTATCTTTTTAAACGTATTTCTGACTAACAAGAAGGCTTTTTCACGCAATAATAAATTTTTATGTGGCCAGTCACCTTCAGAAAAACGTTCGCCATATTTAACACGTTTTTAAGCGGGAGTTTAACATTTTTTAATATTGGAAGCTGATATTAAAGCCCCTGAATTAAAAATCGATGCCGTAACCCCAGTTAGATTTGTTCCCGCGGCTTCCCCACTTCCAGAAAACAAATTGAAAATAGACCCTAGATCTGAGAATAAGGCTGGGAAAAGCGGCAATATTTTTGCGTGACAGCCCCAGGCGACTAGTTTGGCCAATTGAAGGCCGTAACTGCTGTGCCCCGCCGGGCGTTCTCATGATCTGGGAACAGGAACTTGAAAATACGCAATTTTTCCATCATTTCTAATTCCTCATTTTCAGGCGCAAAGCTACGGCGAGGAATGCTGGCTGGCCACCGAGCTGATCCGTCACGACAATTCGCCCGGGCTGGAGAAGGCCTTCCAGACGGTGTTCGGATCGGTAAGGGGAATTCGGACATTTTCTGTGCAAAAGCTCTCAATCACGAAAACTAATCTAGAAAATCAGCTATATAGCCTTTATCTACCCAACCGAAAAATGGGTCCTAGAATTCGATTTTTTCTGATATTTTTTGGTATTAAAATGTAGCCAAAATTAGTTCCAATACCTTAATTGGTCTGTTTTGATCGGGAAAGCAAAATACTTGGTTTTCTGTTGGAGCGCGCTATTTCGGAATTTTCGCGATAGTTTTTTAGATAGGAATTTTCCGAAAAAAGTTTTGGGATTTATGAATTGGAATTGAAGAAAACTGGGGATTTTATACAAGAAAATTTTATTCCGCTAACGCTTTCCACCCTTGAAATAATCAGCGAAAGGGCGCCTGGGTGAAAATTGTCGGCGGACGGACTACGTAGCGACAGCCAGGCGCACCCAAGGTTTTTTGCGCCATTTATGGGGCGGCTATGAGGGGCGGCCCCTTTCTCGATTCGCATTCGATTATGGGCCCCCGGGGCGTGCTGGGGCACACGGTTTGCAATTGGGAGCATATGGGCCCAATTTCTGGATGGAGTGAATATGCGGGCCATAAGCGGGGGCCAGGCCTTTTTTAGCAGCTTTTCGAAAACAATGCTGATTCAAAAATTTTCAGTTAAATCGGCTAACCGGTGTTTTTCCCTAGTGAAGTTTTTGTCGGAGAATCACGCTAATTGTTAATGGTTTATCAGTTTAGTATATGAGAATTCCAGAAATCATGGATTTATTATTTTAAAACGCTAAAAACCCGCCAAAAATCAGCTCGTCTTTTCGGATTTAAGCCTTTTTTTAGTTGGCTTTTCACCGGGAGATCGTACTAATTTTTTAAATGATTTGAGCTCTTGCCCGTTGAATATAGCCGTTTTTCAAAGCTATGTTTTTATTCTTCTGAACGCCAAAAATCCCGAGAGATTTAGGCTGGCGGCGACTTTGTTAGGCGTTGTTTTTCCTCGGGCTGAGGGCCAAAGGTCCACCGCGGTCTGGCCAGCGCATTGGGGGCCCCCTAATTTCCTGGTTGGGGCCCGTTGCGGGAACGGAAATTCGGGTGCCACGCTTCAACGGGGAACTAGGTGGCCATGAGCTGAATAAGAGTGTTGGGAGCGGGTTTTTTCTGGCCCGGCGCCTTTGCGATTTTTTATAGTCTCGCCGGATGAATTTTCTTTTGCACGAACTTTCATGACAATCCTACTATAAAAAAATAGTGTTGTGGTGTTGTGTATTCCTCCCTGGGGTGGGGTGATTTTAGGTATGTTGTTTGTGGGTGGGTTGTCCTTCGATTTGTTTTGTGCTCTTTGTGAGTTGGGTGGGTTGGGGGGGGTGTTTTTTTTGGTTGTGGGGGTGGGGGGTTGGGCAAGTTAATTAACAAATTATAATTATAGAAATTGCCTACTACAAGCTTAAAAATTCAAAAATTAAAAATTAACGAAGGAAACCGTCCGTATATTTTTCCGTGATTTTAAAATTTGGTGAAATGAAAAGAAGATGAAAAACTGCCCGGACTTTTCCTTTTTCGACATAAAAATTCTTTCTAAAGCCCATTACGCAGCCAATTAGAGAATTGCCCTCCTCCGGGTGATTTGTACTCACCCCTGGGGCTCTTCTTGTATCGGCGGGTCGGGCGGCGGTGGCGGCTGTTGTGGCTTGGGCTCGGATTTTGTGTCCTTGTGGAGGGCGGCTACAATCGCCCGCAACGACATCAAGCTGAGTGCCTACCGGCGGCTGAAATATTAAAGGGTATACCACCGCAAAAAGCCGGAAACGTAGACGGGTTGATGATGAAGGTTTCGAGAAAAAGCTGGCGAGACCAATTATGGAAAATTGTGAATTGGGAAGTCTTTTGAATAGGTGATGCCAAAAATGAGTTCAACTACAATGAACGTCTGGGGCTCTCGGTAGTAAAATATTTGGGTTATTTAAGGCCCTTTTTTAGCGATAAAATAAAAAAATCTAGCCTTGATACGGTAATCTGAAAGCGCACTTTCATGGATAAGTACGTTTACATCTATTGACGCAGAGAGACTGCGGGAACAAGCAGGTGCAGAGACGTTCTTAGGTGTCTACCTCCAATTCGCGGAACGCACGTTTGACGAGACAGACTTAAACCAGCGCTTTTTCACGCCAATCCAAAAACTGGGCTGACTGGGCGGTTCGATTGAGAGGGTGAAGCACGAAACACGGGTTGCCCTGGTTATTCCCGATGGCCCAACCCTGCCTAATTGCATCGCGGGGTGTGAGCGATGGGAGGGAATGAGTAGAGTGGCGTTGTCGCGTAAATTGCTTTACCGTTCTTTGAGTCTCACCGCAGGCACGAGGTTTTGGTTAACGTGTGGCCAGCGTTGGCTAAAACTGTTTAGATGGAAGGGGAAGCGAACAAGCCAAAGTTTTGGCCAGCTTTTTCTAGGGGGTTATGGGAAATTTTTAACTATAAAACGAAAATGGGTCAATATTACCAAAAACCTCAAAATATCTATGAATTTTTTTCAGATCATCATCTGCGAATCGTCGAAAGTCGCCGAGAAAATCACCTATGGCAACCTGCGTGCGACCACCGTGACACTTGAAGGCGACAAGTACACCTCTGTCGGAACGGCTTCTGGAGGTATATTTACACCGTCGCCCCATTCTTTTCACCTCTGTCCTTAGGTTTCCGCGGCGACAAAAGCAACAACTACCTCCGACTCGCGAAGGCATACCGACAATGGAAGTCGGAGTCTGCCCAAAAACACGCCTTGATCAAGACACTGAAGGGTGTGTTTTGTCTGGATTTGCGTTGAACGGTGTTTTAGCTGAAATCGAGGCCCTGAACCAAGCCAAGGCCGATGCTGACCAGCTGAATCTTCGCATCAACTCCGTAACTTCAATGTCGGTCTTCTAGAATGCAAAATTTCAGATTGACGGCCGCTTGGACTTGCTGCAACTGTCTATCGACAACAACCCGAGGGAGATGCTCGCCAACGATTTGCAGCGCATCGATGCCGTAAGAGCTCTTATCCATTTCCTATTTTTTTTATTTTACAGGAACTCGCTGAAATTGACGAACGCAGTGCCCAGGCGGCCCCCCGGGTCAAAGAGCTGGAGACCAAACTGACCGACGCCGAGAAGCGCAAAAGAACGCCAAGCAGTTCAGGGTAATACCATCTGACCAGCCCTTATTCATATTGTTCAGGAAGACGAAGAAAAGAAGGCCAAACAAGAGCTGAAGGCCGCACAGGAGGCCTTGGCTGCGCTGGGTGATGAGGTGCAGCGCAGCAAAGCGGCCTTGGCACAAAAGCGGTTGGTTTTTGTTGGGCGGTGGCGTTTCTTTATCTCATGTTCGAATAAAAATATGCTGAATTCTTTTTAGAGCCGACGTCACCGAGTCCGAAAAAGCCATCTCCGAGGCGCAGGAAAGCATCAAGAAGCTCCAGGATGACTTCGAAGAAATTAAAAGGGAGATAGCTGCGAAGGACTTGGAACAAAAGGCGGTGAAGGTATTTTTGCTGGATCGGTGTATTCTAAATACTCCTAGGCCGAATTCGACGCTGTAAAAAGCCGACTGGAAGATTTGCGCGGCGAGAAGCGAAAGAAGGAAGAAGAGTTGAGGGAAATTAAAAAGCAGGGTGAAGAGGCCAGAAAGGTAAGCATTTTTGTTTTATTTTTGTCGAATTACCACTGTGTTCTTTTACGCTTACCTCGCTTCCAGGAATCCATTGCTGAAGCAGAGCGGTGCAAAGAATTGAAAGAGAAATATTCGCACTACAAAGAGCAGGCCTCGAACATGGCAAAGCAATATCAGGTTGGTGGTTCATCAATTTTTTTTAAACTTTAAATTGAATTTCAAAGATGAAAAGGCATTTTTTTAGCACGCCATGCGCGAGTATCGATGGCTCGCCGATGTTGAAGATCAGTTGGCTGTCAAGGGCACCGATTTTGAATTCCCCTCTGGGTGCGTCGTTATCAGGACTTTTTTCTGTTTTTAGACCTGCTCTTTTCTATTCAAAATAATTCTTATTGTTTAGCTTCACGGCTGACAAGGGCAAAAAAGACGTCGACGATCTGAAGGAGCGCCAGGATAAACTGAGCCGCAACCTGAACGTGAAGGCGATGAACCTGCTGGCGCAGGCTGAAGATAGTGTTTGTGATTTTCAGGCTTGCCGACAATTCATCATTCCAGGTGATGACGCTGCTGAAGAAAAAGGAGACCCTCTACAAGGACCGAAAGACTCTTCAAGAAACGATCCACAAATTGGACGAGAAGCGGAAGGAAGAGATCAGCAAGGCCTACCATCAAGTTACAAAGGTCAGATACATTCGAAGTTTCGAATTTTTGTTTAGGACATGAGCAGTATCTTCTCGACACTTCTCGTCAACGCCGACGCCAAGCTTGAGCCGCCAGCGGGGATGACCGAGCACCAGGGGCTGGAGATCAAAGTCGCTTTCCAGGGCAAATGGAAGGAGAGCTTGACCGAGCTCTCTGGAGGTGTTTTTATTTCTACGGTTTTTACCCTAATTTAGGCCAAAAATCTCTGGTCGCTCTCTCGCTCGTGCTGGCCATGTTGAAGTTCAAGCCGGCTCCGCTCTACATCCTCGATGAGGTGTCGATTAGTCGAAATTACAGCGAACACTATAAAATTGTTGTTTTTGTTGTTGACATAGCTGTTATGCTAAATAACTATAAAAAATAATAACTTATAGGTTGATGCGGCCCTCGACATCTCGCACACCCAAAACATTGGGCTGATGATCAAGAAGCACTTCACCAACAGCCAGTTCATTATCGTCTCCCTGAAGGAGGGCATGTTCAACAACGCCAACGTGCTGTTCCGGACAAGCTTCGCGGTATGCATGCCCTTTTTCTTTTTTTTTTATTTTGCTTTCAGGAGGGCACGTCGCGCGTCGACCGCTTCGCCAGCAAGAACTAGGACGGCCCCGATCACCACTAATGCTGACCAGATGCTGCAAATACTTCATATTTTTCATTGATTGTTCTATTGATGCCTTCCTCACCCAGACTACCTGTATATTGCTTTGATCTCGTTCCACAGTTCTCCGGTATTTCCTTTTCTTATTACGGATAAAGATTGAACTCTAATTCGTGTTGATTTTACAAAAGACGTCTAATTTACGGTGGTATGGTCCGTTTTTTATATGTTTGATGAAGTTCCCGCCTCTGTTACAGATTTTTGTAGCCATCCACCAATCAATTCAATCAAGTTCTTTGAGGTGCACACTGATGTCGAGAAGGTTGATTAGATGACTAGACGACCAATAGCACTATTACAGAGTGAAATTCAACAGCCAAGTGATGGTGAAGAAATTTCCGGTCGGAGGAGGCGCCGGCGATCCGAACTTGTCGGAAAGCCTGTCCGAAACGTCTAAGTAACCCCTGCAATTTTTGTAGTGTAAAATTTCCTTTTTAGTGTCACATTAAACGAAGGAGACGACAGTGCCGAGTGCAGTTTCAGCTACACTCCCATACAACCGTTCAGCCAAGGTAGCTATTTTTTAGAGTTACCTAGTATGCGCTCCGTTCAGAGCTGATCAGTCGTGACCGCATCGGACGTGAGCTGTTTGCCGTAGATCTGTTTCGGGTCAAAAAGTAAATGGCTTGTTTTGCTATATAATTTTTTTTAGGAAAATCCTCTACCACTTCCTCACCCATGGCCACCAAGACCACTACGGCTCGATCGGCGTGAGTTTTTTTGGGCAAAAGTTTGGTAAACTTTATTTCAGAAAAACTGGAATCGGCCCATCTACTGCACGCCGACGACCGCCGCGCTGCTACCACATTTGACGCGCAGACGAACCGGACAGCAGTTCATTCGAGAATCCGGGGTGAGGGAAGAGGTACGTTGTTTTGAACTAACACATAATATTTCCATTTAGCTGATGCAACGGCTGCAACTCGGTGTCGCGCAAGATTTTGACAATTTTCGGGTAATTTTTAAGCTGGGAATGTGATTATTATTCCCTCTTGGTACAATATATTTTGAATTGCAGGTGACAGCGCTGGACGCGAACCACTGCCTCGGGGCGGCGATGCTATTATTCGAGGGAGAAGACCCGATTTTCCAAGATGGTAAATTTAGCTGTTTTTTAAAAACGTAATTCAGGACCGATTCTCTTTACGGGCGACATCCGTGCCGACCGCACCCTGATGGAACGTTTCGAGACCAACGCCGGCTATAAGCGCCTTTCGCAGGTCGGAATTTTATGTTGAAACAAATGCATTATATTTGTGTGCTTTATAATATCGCGATTTACAGTTGAAACTTGGCCATATCTTCCTGGACGATACCTATCTTTGCGACGAGGCGGAGCATTTTCCGGCACGCGACGAGGTTCCAAATTTTCGAACTTCTATAAATTTTGCTGGCTTTCAGTTGATTCCAAAAATTGTCGACCTCGCCCGAACATTTTCCCCTACGTTGAAGCTTCTCCTCCCTCTGCACAAATTGGGCAAGGAAGACGTGCTGGTGGCAGTGGCCCGCGGATTGAAGGTTGGATTTTCTCCTCACGATTTACAAGAGCATGAATTATAATTAATGTTTAATATAAGTCAATTCATTTTTCCTATTTCAGGAGAAAATTTGCCTCGATCCTGGTCGTTGGGAGAGCCGGGAACTGCTTTTCCCGCCCGAAGATCTTGAATACTTCGTCGGCGAAGAGGACCCACAAGACGCCAGAATATTCGTGTGCTTGAGGAGGTAACTTCAATATTGTTAATAGGAACCAAAACTTTTTTAAATTATTAATTTTTTTTTAAAATTTTAAGCTTGAAAGTTTTCTCTATTCCCCCCCCCTTTTTTATTTAATTAATTAAATTTTACTTCTGGTTACAGACGCTGCGGCGAGGTCTACCAGCACTTGTTTAGCCAGGGCATCGATGCGGTGGTCATCAACTTAACAAAACAAAAGATTTCGTTGAGGTAGCTATTTTTAATACCTGCTATATACTTGAGTTTTAGCAGGCACATCCACGAGTCCATTTGCTACAATTTCCCCTATTCGGACCACTCGTCCTACACGGAGCTTGTGAGCTTCTGCTCGAGGCTGCGTACAAAGTGGGTTTTTGGGTTTTTGGGTCTGCTCTATGCTATTTCGAAAAGCAAAACTTCAGAAAAATCATTGAAAAATATGAGATTATGAATTTTTCGATAAAATCATATTTTTGCACATTTAACGTTTTGAATGTTTTGCGCAAAATCTAGCTAAATTTTACTAAAAAAACCCATTAAAACACTTTCTATGATCTTGAATGTTATATCTAGACTGTATAGAAATTTTGTTTTTCAGGTTCCTTCATCCATGGAGCGGCAAGGTCGATGTTGAACACCCGCGTTGGAAACGACTGCGCAGCGCATGCACGTCGGACACGTTCGCGGAGTGGGCTTTTTGTTACTAGTTTTATTTTCTATATGTTTTAAATAACTTTTAAATTTTTTTCAGGCCACCAGCCGCAAAACAGCGGCGTCTGGCCGACAGCCTGACGGCGGACCTTGAAGAGATAGATTGCACAACCACGATCCCGATCAGCGTCAATGGGTATTTTTTGAAAATTCAACAAGACTAATTGGTTTTAGAATCGACATGAACGAGTTTGCGCCCGCGCTGAATGGAGCCAAATAATTGATTCCTAACAATAACCCCTTATCCGCATCCCTTTGATTCACAGAATTTATTGATCTATTGCCTCGATTTCTACATAATCCACGATTTTCTCACATTGATCTCGGGGCTCGAATATCATTTCCGGTTGTTATTGGTTTCTGATGCGTTTATTAAAATGTTTAATTCTGGAAAACGACGTTGTTGTTCGCAGTTGGGCAATTATTCGCCGGACATCATCTCCATGAATTCTACAAAAAGGTGTACTTCTTGAGGGCGGGCTTACCGGTGAAGTCGACGGTTCCCGAGCCGTCCTGGTCAATCTCGGCAATCATCTCGTCAAGTTCATCCTGAAGACAAGTGAACGGTTTGAATAGGTTTTAATGTCTTCCTTTTTAATGTTTATATTATTTATTGAATAGTTTTTCTTGAATATAATCATACCTCGTTGATGTTGTCGTCAAGTGCCCGGAGGATGTCCCTCAAGTCCGAGACGTTGATGTAGCCGTTACCCTAGAAATTTGTAGATGAGCGACGATAAGAATTTTTGGGGTAGAAGGAAAGTAGATTTATGGGTAGTGGCGATTACCAAACAAGTGGCATTTTTAATTGAATTTTTAAGGGAAAAAATCAAATTTAGCCCGGAATGGGGATTCTGGAAAAGAAAAAGGATTTTAAACACGAAATGAAAGAAAACGATGAAAAACAAGATGCTCAAACGCAACGCGAAATCTCTACCTCCTTGTCGTAGAGGCGGAAGGCCTCACGCAGCTCCTCCTCCAACCCCTCGTCATCGGCTCCTCCCACGACGAAGGTGGCCACCATGGCGGCGAACTCCTCGAACTCGATCTCGCCGGAGCCTAAAAGTTGCCTGGTTTGACGTAGTTTTTTTTTGTTTGAAGGGTTGCACGTTTTTGAGAAAACCAAAACTACTTTTAGCGAGCGATTTCCCTAGCTTTTTGACTGGCTAGTTTTGTGCATTAATTTAGGGGTAATAGATTCTAGTGCCACTAACCGTCAGTGTCGAACTCCTTGATCAGCTGCTTCAGATCGCGTTCCTCGAAAGCCTGACCCATGGTGCGCAGGATTTGGCCGACCTGGAGAATTGAAGGTTGTTTTTAATATTGTGATTTGTTTGTATAATTATTTATTGTACTTGATTGGATGAGCATTGTTATTTCATTTAAAGAATTTAGTTTCGATCGACCTATTAGAATTTTAGGCCAATATTTCGATATTATCCGGATTTTCCTTACCTGTGTGGCACGGATGAATCCCTTGTTTTCCTTGTCGAACATGTTGAAGTATTTGCGGAATTCTAGAAAAAGCGATTTATTCTGAGGAAGCGTAGGAAAAGTAGATCTTTCGGTTTAGGTTTCGAACCAACTTACGCTCGATCTGCTCGGGGGTGAGCTGCTCGAGGGCATCGGCCACGGCGTCTCCCTAAAATCGAATTTTTTAAAGGTTTTGGAGACTAAAAACCTGCCCATAGTCCCTTTAAAAAAATCGATATGAAGTGAATCGATCGACCAGCTGAATTTATTCTGGGAATGGTGGCAGAGAAAAAGGCTTTGACTTGGGTTCGAAATGTTTTCCTGGTTTCACAAGCACATGGCCCAGTGCACGCCTTTTGGTTTTTTTGATCGAAACCTGGGTGTCGCAGCTTATAATAAGAAATCATTACCAAAAAAAGTGCAACTATCGTTCGAAAACTAGATATTTTCATTTAAAGGCGTCGGGAAGCGTCAGTCGACCGACATGGCGACTAGGTATCGACAGCAACACGCACTCCGAAATGCTGATAGTTAGAAATTATTTGGACGCGTAAGTGTCGAGACCTAGCGGAGGGAAAGGGTTGGTTCTGACACTTTCCAATACCTGAAAGGGACGGAAAAGCGTGGTATAGGCTGGGTCTTAGCTTAGGTTTAGGCTTCGTCTAGTCTTGCTTCGGACTTGGCTTAGCTTAGGCTTGGGCTTAGGCTTAGGCTTAGCACTACCATATTGATGACCCCGAAAAAAAATCAATAAAATTATATCCACTTACCATGTCTGCTGCGGGGTAAGTAGTTGCGGGTGGTTGGGGGCAGAAAAGAGGCTGGGATCTACTGGGATTTGGGGGGAGATGGTGGTGGGCTCCCTGTCGGTCCTCGGTTCGTTTACCTTTACAACCCCCGCAACCACGAGGCCCTCAAGAAAAAGAGGCTGAAAAGAGGGGGGAAAATTCTCGAGATGGGGGCAGAGGGCTGGGGGGGATGTGGACAGCTCGGGCATACAGTCTCCACCCAGGGCCCCCGACAGCTTTTCCCTAAAATTGTGGCCGGCAAATGATGGGGTCACTTTAGGGGGGAGGAGGGGTTAAATTGTGTTTTTTGGCCCTTACACCGGTAAAAGTGGTTTCAAAACATTATCAAATTACCAGTCATGTCGTTTCTTAGTTTTCTACCAAAAAGCAAAACGTTTCGCCTCTTCGGGGATTCGAACCCGCGCCTTGCAGCTATGAAGCGTGAACGTAACCAATTCACCATGACGCCCAACCTGGGTTGGAGAAGGGGAGGCCCTTTTCAACCCCCAGGGACCTCCGGTGTCTTTCGGCCAAAAACCGGGCGGAAGATCAAGAAAACCTAAAATCGGCATGTCATTTGCTGTCGATCATACTACTGTATCAAAAATCAATAATTTATTGTGTACACAGTACAATCCGGAAATCAACGAACGATATACTCAAAATGCGAGTCGATACAGCTGCTGGTCGGTGAGGTACTGAGCAAGCTCACGGCCAACCTCGGGCTCCATGGTTTTCTGAAAAAGGCATAATTTTCTGACAATTGCCCCTTAAAACGGTAGATAGCGAGAGAGAGAGAGAGAGAGAGAGAGAGAGAGTGAGAGAGAGTGAGAGCGCGATTATTCTACCCTCTCCTCACCTTAATATACGTAAGCCTGTTCCGCTTCTCATTCTGCGTCAACAGCTTATGCTCCTGCACCATGATAATCCGCACCAACCGTTGCTTGGCCGGAATCGTGAGTTTTGGGATAACCTCCTGAAATTCGTCAAATTTTCCAAAATTTTTGGCGGATATCGCAAATAAGCTTTCCCAGTTCGCCTTCCTCTCATTAGTGCACAAAAGTCATACCCTAATTTTGAGCTGGCGCTCCCGTTCTGCGGCAAAGGTCAGCCTCCTCATTTCTTGGTGCTTATGGCGGATGGGGGCTGGGAGTCTGAAATGGGTTTTTAAGGCTTTAAAGGGATGCTAGGGATTTGGTATGGATCGTCCGGCCATTTAAACCCCGAAAAAACCCGCCTGGCCAATATCTTCTCGACCTCCACGTTGATGTCGACAATATTCATATCCCCGGCCCTTTCCACGAGTTTCTAAAGCACGCCTGGGATACGGTAGAAAATTTCGAGTTACGGTAAGTTGTGTTTTTGTCTCTTCTTCATCCACGATCCGGCAGTTTGCCAATCCGAGGGTTCCGGTAACGAGGAGGGTGGCGGATAACAGCCTCATAGTTTAAAGCTTCTAAATCGATTTTAAGAAAATTTAGGATTCTGATAAATCGGATAAAATGAGAAATCGTCCAGCGGATGGTTCTGGTTCGTTAGCGAGGGGGGGGGGCAAACAAAAACCGCATTTTTAAACCAATTTTGATATATTTTTGGCCAACAAAAGGTATTTTCAAACGTTTCTAATTTTTCTAATTATTTTAGACTCTAATAAAGGCGTAAAATGCAATTAAAATGATTTTTAATCACAAGCCTACCCTGGAAAATAGCAAAAAATTAAGCCCCCTTCTAAAGATCCCACCCCCGCTAACAGACCAGAACCATAAAATGAATCGTTCAGCAAAAGTGGCGGAAAAGCTGTTCTAAACGACAAGAAGCCGAAAATGCCGTGGCCGAGACCGGATCCGCCCCCTGTCGATGGCCATAGCCGGACCGAAAAGCGGACAGGCCGAAAAAAGGGATCACAGCGGACGTGTACGGCGCGCGGACTCTCTCTCTCGCTCTCTCTCGCTCTCTCTCTCTCTTTCTAGCTCTCTCTCTCTCGCTCTCTCTCGCTCTCTCTCTCTCTCTCTCTCTCTATCTCTCTCTCCCGCCCCATATTTGCCCCGAAGCGAGACAAGGAAGCCTCTTCCCCCCGACAAGTGGTTTACGCCCCTTGGGCCCCTTGTTTTCCACGATTTTCGATGGCAAAGACCAGATTTTTGAGGGCCGGGCCGGGCAGAGACCCCGAAAATGGTTCAGGCGGCCAAAAAGCAAAAATTTTGGCGTGGGACGGGGTTGAACTTCGGTCTTGAGAATGGTGGGCAACTTCGTTAGCCACTCGGCCACCGGGGAAAGAAGACGAAAATGGCTTTTTGGTCAAAAATTTAAATCCCGGTGTAAGACTGAGAGGTAACTTGAGTGGTAATGGTTATTTTCTACAGGGTGGCCAAAAAAAAAAGTGCCTGGTTTGGGTCAAAATATCTCGCTAACGGAAGCGAATCGGACCATGGTTACCATGCCAGAATGCTTAAATGTGCTGGGTATGAAGAATAAACACGACTTGTTTTTTTCGATTTTTGACGACGTACTAATACAAATTACACCCGAAAACTGTGCGTTCCGTAGAAATGTGCGTTCGGTTTTTCCGCGTTTTCTGGTGGTGCAATAGTTCTAATTTTTTCAGGTTTAGCAGGTGTGTATTGTAGTGGAACGTAGCCAAGGTTTTAGAATTTTTGAAGGTGTAGTTCGATTTTTATGTTAGAGCGAATTTTTACATTGGGCCGTTCCAAGAATCCTTAATTACAAAAAATTGTAAGGCAAAAATTGAAAAAGAGATGGTGACGCAAAAGGGAAAACCTTTATGCAAGCAGAGGAAAATATTAGAAACATATTTGGAAAAAATGAATTTTCGAAATTTTCGACGACCCTCTATTCATGGATTTTTTTGAGGTCCCGGAATCCGACTTTAGAAAAGTTTTTTTTTAAGTTTCCTAGGGAACCAAGGCCCTTTGTTACTATGTTCTTGTAGCGGCCAAGTTTCTTTATCATCAGTAAAATATTGGGCTACAGTATCCATCTGAGGGTTCGTATTATAGGGTCGCCAAAAAAGATGAATCGCGTTGTTTTTCGAATCTAGCTATGTTTCTATTGAGTTCCATTGTCCCCCTAAAATTTCGGTGATAATTTTAAAAAAATACTACATTATGGGCGCATCCAATGAAAATTTTGTTACGAGTCTCGGGCCAGTGGTTTTCCCGGAGGAATTTTCCGAAAACCCGAAATATGCCAAGTTTGAGGTGGTGTAGAAAAAATACCCCATGCTTGGCTGCTCAAAATATATTTATCACCAATTCAGTTAACGGAGCTGGATAAGTTCCGCCCATTAATACAAAGATTTTGTGTGATTGGATTTTTCAAAATTTTTTTGAAAAGCGTTTTCGAAGCAACCTATTTTCCAGTCTGCGGCGATTTCCACCATAATTTTGCATCGTCCTATTCCAGGAGTTTGATCTTAGAAATTATTTAATAAGAGCGTTACTTTAATGCATGAGATTTTTATATCTATGATGTTCAAGAAAAAAGCATTTTGAGACGGCGATCAAAAGTGGAATTTTGGGCCGGCTTTCAGTCTTTCCCTTGTAACTCTGGAACCTGCCACCGGAATTGTCTGATATTTTGCAGGTAGACTCCTAAGCACCTAGCCAACCAGATGACTTCAAAAATGATCGAGTTTATGGAAGTTCCTATTGCATGCTAAAACGCGCTCCCCCGAGGGTTACGGTAGTTGGCAATGTTGTGTTTTTCGTGCGGTTTCACCATACAGTCGTCCCGTTTTTCTTCGGAGAACCCGTTTGCGTTTAATTTTTGCAAGTTCATTTTCGACATAAGATTATGCCTCCTCTGTAGAGCGATTTGGAGTTTAACGAAGCGTTGCTTGAATCTTCGGGCACTGGTAAAATTTATTTATTCGGAAAATCGACGAATTATATGAACAAAACTGTAATTGAGGAAAACTTTTACTGTTTACGGTATCTAACACGCGCCCCGTATTGGCCCTCAATATTGCCTCCCTCATTTTTTATGACGAGAGAGAGACGCTCCGGTAGTTGCGCGACCGCGGCCTCAATTTGCTCCTCAGGAAGTTCGGTCCACGCGCTTATCAAGGCCTTAGCAAAAGCTAGTTTTCGATCCTTAAGCGGTAGATTGGGATCCAGGTCGGCAGTTAGCTCTCGGACTCGTCTCTCATGCATTGACCAGACCGAATAATCCAGTGGATTCAGGTCCGGAGAGTTTGGCGGGTACCTAATTCTTTTGTCAAAGCAGCCTATGACCAATAGCTTACTCGCTCCGATCTAAATATCGGATTTCCTTCGCAATAAGCATTTGATGTGTCTTCGAATCATTGTGCCCAGGGGCCCAGTCGTGCTGATAGATAAAATCGTGGCCAATCAGCCGCTCGGCAGTCGGAATGATGTGGTTCTCCAAGAAGTACCTAAGCTGAAGTTATTTAGGTTTTTTGATCATGACTTACCGATATTCTCGACCACCGACTGTTTGGCCCTGCTCCAGTAGTAGCAAGGGCAATTTCTTGCCGTTGCCCGCAACACCACCCCAGATTGTAAATCCCGGGCCAGTGGGCTTGCCGTGAGGAAGATCAAGGAGTTCTTCCTCGACCTGACGTTTCGTGGATGCTTTCGAGAGAACGAATTGGTAGCCTTTAGTAGGATCAAGCCGAATGAATTTCTCATCCGAAAAGATAATCTTTTGTAAGCAAATCTCTCCGGTTGCGAAGCCATGGACAAGTTTTTGGGCACAGGTTAGCCGGTCGCTCTTGTTTTTTGCAGATAATATTTGGACGGGCCTCTATAGAAAAATTAATCGGGCAAAACAGTTCGCTTACCATTTTATACCGATGGTAGCCAAGTTGCTTGCACATTAACTGCGCGGAGGTCCGTGGAATGCCGAGGACAGCCGCAAGCTGACGGCTAGAAATTCTTGGGTTCATTTCGACGGCGGTCTCTAAGTCTTCTTTATGCAGATCCAACAAGCTAAGCGGACGGCCTGAGCCCTATAGAAAAATTTGAATATCATGGTCACGTGATGTACCCTTTTCCTGGTGGCTTCTTGGCCTGCTTTTACTCGACCGATAAAAGCTTTGATGCTGCTGCGCTTGATCAGGTGTCCGCGGCGCCGCGACCATTCGTAGAGCTCATTGATGCTTATGTTAGGGTGATCTTCCACCAATAACGTGGCTGCGCTTTTCTCTTCCTTGGACCAAGCCGATAGCGGAACATATTTGCCGCGCCCCTAGATTGTGTGACAAATTTGCATAACGATATACCTTGACCGAAGCGGCTTGATAGGCAGGTTCCGGCCCCAACGTAGCAGTTCCGCCGACTTCAGGGGCAGAGCGGTGACGTTTTCGTACGATTAAAGTCTCGGACTCTTCGTCATTGTCATCTATTTCTTCGCTATGCCTCTTGAAGGATCGAATGGGGGCTAGATAAACGAATCTCAAATACATTCTCAGGCAAACCTGTACAGGGTGCGTCAAAAAAAAAAAGCCAAGTTTGCACCAAAATATCTCGCTTATCTTTGAGAATCGAAGGTACGTTACCATGCCAGAATGCTTAAATATGCTGGGTATGAAGATTTAACACAACTTGATTTTTTCGATTTTCGAGTACGCGTACTATTGACGCTGGTTACGACCGAAAATTGTGCGTTCTTGAACGGGTGGTGGGGAAATTCTGATTTTTGGCCTATAAATAGTTGACATTTGTAGAAAAATAATAGCAAAGTCTTAGAATTTTTGAAGGTTTAGTTCTTTTTTTACAGGCAAAACAAATTTCCCTATTTTGCTTATTTTTACTTTTTAATTCGCAACTCGCTTCAAATTGGCTGCCCATGGCTGATCTTTTGCAAATAGTATTCCGAATGATAACCTTTAGCACGACACCAACTTTTACCTGATTCTATGGTATTTTAATATTGCTTGCTAAAACGTCCCCAGAGGGATACTGTGTTTTTGTTTTTCGCGTTTTTCTTTTTATTGTAAGCTGCGATTTCGCTTAAAATTTTATCATTGGTAAACATCATTAAGGGTCATCTATTGGCTAAATTTCGCAAAGTTCTAGCCATACACCTTCCCAAAATATGCAAAAAACTTATTTTTGAATTTAGCCACGGAAATTTCTAAATATTTTGATGCATCGGACTAAAAACTACTATTATTTGTTTTCCTGAAAGATCGAAACGTTTCTATGGTGAAAAGAACGAGAAAACCGCGATTTTCTGTTTTCTACAGTAACCCGCCTGGAGCGCGTTTTAGCATGCCAAGACAAAATGCCATAAAATGCCAATTTTTCTATTCTATAGTGTTCTCTGGGTGATTGTAAGAGCACCTACAAAAAATTACTTGATTCCTGTGGCAAATGACAAAGTTATCAGGGAAAGAGGAAAACCCACCCTGGGGCCCGATTTTGGACCCGACGCCCTGGCTCGAAAATCGAATTTTTGAAAATGAAAAGGCACCGGGGTTTGGTGGATACAATTAAATTACGCATCGAAAAGTGTATGAAAGCAGAATTCTGGAATGATCTGGCTGAAGTTAATGGTTGATTTTGATTTAAAACTCGAAAATAACGTTTTTTGAAAAGCCGACTTTGGGGAGCTCTTCTAAATTCGTTTGCCAAGAACAGATTTTGTATTTGCATGGGTTCTAGTTGACTACCCAAGCTGAGTTTATGCCAAAAAAGTTGAGGCTACTCAAGCCTCGAGAAATTTTTCCGGCGCCTCGAGTTCGGGTATATTTGGACTTTTCATGAATTTTTTTGAAAGATCGGATGGCCCAATAAATTTGTAGATATAATTTTAGAATGCGCCTATTAAGTAGTATTAAATAAAATTACGACAATATTTCTAACCGCGCAAATGAATTTTATAGACTGGCACTAAGGTCTGCGAAATAGCAAGAACCAACCGTTTTGGAGGCGCTAAAAGACAACCTTCCGAAGGGGTACGGTAGCTAGAAATTGTTTACATGATAGATGGACGCCAGTCCTACCCAACAAAGCAAAGCAAACACCGAAATTCTATCTGCAATTTTAGAAATATTTTTCCAAAGTTCAGTTTCGTGACCTCGAAAGAATCCATGACCAGGGGGTCGTCGAAAAAACTCAAAAATCCGCGGATCTGAATTTTTTTTGATATTTTTGCGGGATTGTATCGAGCCTATACACATGCCAAAAGAGCTTATTTTGAGGTTTCCGCCATAGGTTTTTGTAATATTCGAAATTTACGAAATTTCTCCATATTAAACTTGAGCATGCTATAACTTGCCAACCAGACCTTCAAAAATTCTAAAATTCGGGATGTGCGTAGGGGCAGTCCTTAGGTACCTACACTGTAAAAATTGGAAGTGTTCGACCACCAACAATCCTAAAAAATGCAAACGAAGTTTGGCCGGAACGCACAGTTTTCGGGTGTCATTTGTATGGGTACGTCGCCAAAAATCGAAAAAATCAAGTTGTGTTAAATCTTCATACCCAGCATATTTAAGCATTCTGGCATGGTAACGTACCTTCGATTCTCAAAGATAAGCGAGATATTTTGGTGCAAACTTGGCTTTTTTTTTTTGACGCACCCTGTATTCAAAGTTTCATCGTCCTGCTGCATTCGGGCAGCCGATGGCTCGTCCAGAAGTTCACCCTCCAACATCGCGGCGGCCGTGTCCGATTGTTCTCTGTCGGAATCTTCCCATTCATCTTCCGAGCTTTGAAGGGCCTAAACGCAAAACTAGCTTTCAAATAGATGTTTAGAAATACCCCATCGTCGCCGTTGCAGATTTCATATCCCATGCCCAGATCGTCATCCCCGATCTAAATACCTTACTGGAAGCTTCAAGCAAGACAGAGCCCACCTTAGAGGAATCATAGACTTTCATCGTCTCGAGCTCTTGATTAGTTAATTTCCGAGGCGATGCTCCGGGCCTGATCTTCTATAGGAAATAGGTTTGATAACTGAGTTTGATAGCACCTGTACAAATTCCGCAACTCTGGACACAGCTCTCCCTGGCAGCGATTTCCCCCATCTCTTTTCAAAACTGAATGGGGCCGTTCGAAATTTAACGCTAAAAAATTATATTCATTAACCAGATACTGGGGGCAGACGTTCTTAGCTGCGGCTGAGGCGCCTCGATGGGGAATTGAAAATTCTTAGAGATTAGCATCGTCCCGCTAAACAAATTGTCTTACCATAAAAAAAAACTAACTCTTCGAGTCGGGTCGGCAAAACGCTTCCGGAGCCGGTGGGCTTCGTACCGAAAGTGCTAGCCACGCTCCTTGCTTGTTCCGCCGCCCGCCTGGCCGCCGCTTGGTCCTTCCACAGCACCTGCTCTTCCACAGGATAGTTCTGCCTATACCATTCCGAAAATCGGGCATTTTCCGCTCGGCGTCGTTCCTCTTCCGCCCTTTTCCTTTCTTTTCTCCTATTTCACAAGATATATTCCCAGAAACGTTGCTCATCTTACTTGGCCTTCCATTCCTGGAGATCCCGGAACCTTTCGTCACATTCTGCTCGATATCTCCGCTCCTCGTCGATCTCTGCCTGGCTAAAGCTTCACGAAATATGTTTTGAATCTAGATATACATAGATTCCCGCCAATCAAACTCCGGGCAACGGCTTCCCTGTCGATCCCATCGAGCCCATCGATCTTCCGGGGCTTCCGCAATGCCAAACAATGAAGAGTTTGGCACGCATGAACGACCGGAAGAGCTGGGAATTTCCATCTCTGCTTCTGACCGTTCGCGTACTTCTGACTAAATTAGGCAATTTATGTTGTTATTTTGAAGCATCATTTTGTGTTTGTGTTTTCTAATCCTAGTTCACCTGTGGTCTCTCGTGAAAGTAGTCAGCCAGTGCCGCCGCAACTCCTTCTTTTTTGAAGACAACTGGTCGGCTAGCCGTGGTTGCCTAATTCCATGTATGGCTTGTGCTCAATATTCGTACCTGCATCCGCGTTGATTCGTTTCTTCGGAGCTCAGATCCACCCGGCCACCATTCTAACACGCTAGGCTCGGGACTATCGTAGGCTGGAGGCGCCAACGGTAAGTCCCTGAAGCTTAACACGCTTGGTGGTGGGCTCATGCTGAGCTCCGTCGGAATCGGACTTATGCTGGCAGCATCATCGAGTTGTAGCTCGCTCAACCTTAAAGGCCTGGGCACTTCCCCACTCCGATTCAATTCCGAAACCGGGTCTCGCGAACGCAGATTGTACGACTTGGATTGCTCCATGCTAAAAATTTTGGTATTAAATTAATTAGCCACTTGGCAAAAACGGAACCAGGAATAGCCGTTGGAATGACATCAGAAACAACTTTGGAAACATGTAGCGGTGATGTGGATGATGACCGAGCGTTAGCATCTGATTGCCTCATATATATAGGCCAGATCGGAGCCATAAAAATAGCGAACGACCTCACTATGCCCTGAAAAAGCACTAATATCACACTTAAACAAGAATGTTTGTCTGTTTTTGGCACATTTCCTCGACTTCTTCGACATGTTGCTCACAACAAAGTCGGTACTTTTATTTAAATGACTGCGAAATTAACATCAGTCGTGTTGTGACAACCGAAAAGCGCTTTCTTAGTTCAAGGTCATCGCCTTTAAAAGAAACGCGCTTTTCCTTGGGTGGGTCCGGTTTGACCTCGAAGAAGCGGCGGCGGTAAACAACCATCGGCCCTACACAAATCTTTATCGCCTATAAGCAACAGGGAGTACGACCCTTCTTTACGTAAAAACGTCTATAAGACGAGAAAATAGAAAATATCTTCAGCAAATATTTTCCAAAACACCCCCCCAAATGTTAACTACCAGACACAAATGTCATCGGCTGCGGCTAGAATCAGAAAATTCTTTGCCAGGTGCTCAAAAAATTCGTTCTCAATAATTACCCAAAGAAAAACGGGACGACTGTATGGTGAAACCGCACGAAAAACACAACATTGCCAACTACCGTAACCCTCGGGGGAGCGCGTTTTAGCATGCAATAGGAACTTCCATAAACTCGATCATTTTTGAAGTCATCTGGTTGGCTAGGTGCTTAGGAGTCTACCTGCAAAATATTAGACAATTCCGGGTGGCAGGTTCCAGAGTTACAAGGGAGAGACTGAAAGCCGGCCCAAAATTCCACTTTTGATCGCCGTCTCAAAATGCTTTTTTCTTGAACATCATAGATATAAAAATCTCATGCATTAAAGTAACGCTCTTATTAAATAATTTCTAAGATCAAACTCCTGGAATAGGACGATGCAAAATTATGGTGGAAATCGCCGCAGACTGGAAAATAGGTTGCTTCGAAAACGCTTTTCAAAAAATTTTTGAAAAATCCAATCACACAAAATCTTTGTATTAATGGGCGGAACTTATCCAGCTCCGTTAACTGAATTGGTGATAAATATATTTTTGAGCAGCCAAGCATGGGGTATTTTTTCTACACCACCTCAAACTTGGCATATTTCGGGTTTTCGGAAAATTCCTCCGGGAAAACCACTGGCCCGAGACTCGTAACAAAATTTTCATTGGATGCGCCCATAATGTAGTATTTTTTAAAATTATCACCGAAATTTTAGGGGGACAATGGAACTCAATAGAAACATAGCTAGATTCGAAAAACAACGCGATTCATCTTTTTTGGCGACCCTATAATACGAACCCTCAGATGGATACTGTAGCCCAATATTTTACTGATGATAAAGAAACTTGGCCGCTACAAGAACATAGTAACAAGGGCCTTGGTTCCCTAGGAAACTTAAAAAAACTTTTCTAAAGTCGGATTCCGGGACCTCAAAAAATCCATGAATAGAGGGTCGTCGAAAATTTCGAAAATTCATTTTTTCCAAATATGTTTCTAATATTTTCCTCTGCTTGCATAAAGGTTTTCCCTTTTGCGTCACCATCTCTTTTTCAATTTTTGCCTTACAATTTTTTGTAATTAAGGATTCTTGGAACGGCCCAATGTAAAAATTCGCTCTAACATAAAAACCGAACTACACCTTCAAAAATTCTAAAACCTTGGCTACGTTCCACTACAATACACACCTGCTAAACCTGAAAAAATTAGAACTATTGCACCACCAGAAAACGCGGAAAAACCGAACGCACATTTCTACGGAACGCACAGTTTTCGGGTGTAATTTGTATTAGTACGTCGTCAAAAATCGAAAAAAACAAGTCGTGTTTATTCTTCATACCCAGCACATTTAAGCATTCTGGCATGGTAACCATGGTCCGATTCGCTTCCGTTAGCGAGATATTTTGACCCAAACCAGGCACTTTTTTTTTTGGCCACCCTGTATAGATGGACGCATTAATGGCTGTTTTTCGAGCCGTTACAAGCGGATTTCCGGTGCATCTTAATTTACATATGGTAATTAAATATATTTCACGGTAACCTTAGGTTGGAAAATTGGAAAAGGCCATTAAAACCCCCGGTTCCGATGAACGACTGTGGCCGGTGCCACCGTGCCATTGGCGAGGAGACGGCCGTGTATGCAAATAAGCAGGTGGGTTTCTCCACCTTCCTCTCTCTCTCTCTCTCTCTCTCTCTCTCTCTCTCTCTCTCTCTCTCTCTCTACTCTCTCTCTCTCCATTTCTTTTTCCGGCTACGGTTTACTTTACCCCCCCCCAGCCGAACGGTTTTCGCTATAACTTTTTTATTTTACATTATTGTAGGCTCAAATTAAAACTCTTAGTATATTTTTCGACGCTCTATCGAATGGCGTTGCGAAAATCCCGACAAAATAAGCGAAAATACCGACAACTTTGAGACCCTTCGGCTGTGGGGGTAAACTCTCCCTTTTTCCAGCTCTTCCACCCCACGCATCTCCAATGCACTCGCTGCTCCTACCGTATCGAGCCGGACACCAAGTCTGCTGTCACCACCCCTTTAAAATCTATTTTTTTTGAGGTATTTCGTCTACGGCGGGCAGATCATTTGTCGTCGCTGCTATCTGCAGCATAGTGCTCCGAAGTGTTACGGTAAGGATTGGCTTAGGCTTTGCTTGGGCTTTGCTTAGGTTTGGCGTGGGTTTGGCTTAGGCATGCTTAGCTTAGGCTGCAATCTTCAGGTTGCACCCAGGGCATTGACGGCGAGCTGGTGACGGCGATCGGCCAGACGTGGCATCCGGCGTGCTTCAAATGTGTTGGGTGAGCCTTATGGAGAGTTAATCCTACTATATATAAAAAAATAGTGTTTGTCTGTGTGTGTGTGCCACTTTGCATGCAACTTCCGTCAGGGTATCCGGAGGATATCTCAAGGGGGAAAGGGTATTAGGCTAAGTATGATAAGCGATTAGGTGCGTAATGAAGCCGAGATGACTGCAGCATATCAGATTTTACAAATGATGCTATTTTCAACATTAAAAATCAGTTTTTGTTAAAAAATCGGGCAGCCTCTTTGCTAGGAATTAATTAGCATAAGCCGGAAGTGGCGGCAGTCTATATAACGGCGGAAAGGGTGCATTTTCATTATTTTTCATAGAATTTGGCCGAATTATGCAAAGGGCTAATATCATGGGATTAGACGGGGCCAGGGTTGAAAAGTCGCGAAGACGGAGCGAAATAATCAGATTTTTGTTTGAATTGAATAAATTAGGTAATTCAGATGTACGGAGGTGTTGAGCGACGAGTGGCTCCTCGACACGGCCGGCCCGATGCATCGCCATTGTTATTGGGGGCAGATCAATGATTGTCAGGTTGGTGTCGGCGTTTTTCCCTCTTTCTCCCCCTCTCCCCTCTCTCTTTCTCTCCCTCCCCCCCCCCCCCTCTCTCTCTCTCTCTCTCTCTCTCTGTGTCTGTCTCTCTCTGTCTCTGTCTCTCTCTCTCTCTCTCTCTCTCTCTCTCTGTCTCTCTCTGTCTCTCTCTCTGTCTCTCTCTGTCTCTCTTTCTCATAAAAGATTTTGAATTTAATTTTTTTTGAGATGACCAATGCCGGACCGCTGTGAACCCTTCAATCGCCCCTCCATTAAATATACCCAATTATACCCTCGTCCAGACGCCCAGATACAATCCGTAATTTGGTGTCTATCGTAGTCGTCTATGTGATGTGATTATCGTTCCCGGAACTGTCGGCAATAAAATGTTCTTCTTATTGTGTGAAACTGGTTGGGTTGACCTACAAATTCGACAAATTATTGCTGTTCGCCGGAAGGAATTATCTCAGACGGTAGAAATACGCGACGTTCCGCCGATCGTCACGTTAGAAGTTTGATTTTTGAGTCCATTAAACCTCTGAAATTTTAACACCGAGCTGCACTTTGGCCGAGTGGCTATGGCGTTTGTCTATGAAGTTGAGGGCCAGGGTTCGAGTCCCGCACGTTGGAACTTTCTGCTTTTTGAATTTTTGGTTTTTGGATTTGTGGTTTTAGATTTTTTGACTTGATCCTTGGCATAGTGGCTAAGACGTTTGACCCTCAACCAGAGGGCCAGGGTTCAATTGCTGGACGCTTCAGATTTTTGATTTTTTGGTTTTTGAAGCTTGCTTGTATTAAAAAAAGCGTACTCGGGTAGATAAAGCTGAAAATTGGCACCTTCTAGGCGTAAAAAATACGGGTTCTTAAAATGTATGCTTGAAAATTCAATTTTTGAGCCGATCCTCATTAGCGTAGTGGATAACTCGTTTGCCTATCAAGCTGAGGGTCAGGGTTCAATTCCTGCCCGTGCCAATTTTTTGCTTTTTGAATTTTTAAACGCTAATTATCCCCTAGAGACCGGAAAAGGTGTCGAAACAGCTGTTTTGCCTCGGTAAAACCCGGACGAGGCCTTTTTCCACTTAGGCTCTTATCCAGACCAATCTCGGCGGTCCGCTCCCGGGTTCTCCCTCATTCCTTCGGCGTGCTCAATTTGTCGAGATCCCTGTTCAAGTTGTCGTCATTGGGATTCGGCAAGTTGGGGGTGGAGGTGGGGGATTCGATTAGCCTCCATTTAACGGCATTTAACGACACTGTACACCACCAGCTGTGGTAGTTGACAGCTCTATCTCTCTCTCTCTCTCTCTCTCTCTCTCTCTTTCACGCTCTTTCTCTTTCTCCTTGTGATAAACAGTTGACAACCACCCACGCAATGGGATTGTCCTTTTGGGCTGATACACAGATCTGTTACGGATCCGTTACGACTTGTTCCTTTTGTTTTCCACTGATTTGTGATCGTGAGCGGTCATATACAATGCTCAAATACGGAATGTTCTTCTGAAAGATTTAAATAGAAGTGTCTCCTGCTCACTCTCTCTCTCTCAATTTGGCTCTCTCTGTATTTTAGCCGTATCCGTCTCTCTCTCTCGCCGGCCGTCTCTCTCTCACTCTCGGTTTATCTCTCCCCTCTCTCTCTCCTCTCTCTCCCTCTCTCTCCCACCCTCCTCTGAAATTTTAAAAACCCTTTTACTCCAGAAACCCTCCAAAAATGATCGGAATGATGAACAACCCGTCGAACTCGGTGGAGTTCTACTCGGCGCGGAGAGGAAGCCAAGAAGCCGAAGTGGAATTCGTCGAGGGTCCGAAGAAGAGCCACGTCCAGTATGCGGCCGGTTTGTTCGTCTGTTTGTGCTGTTATCTGTTTTTTTTTCATAAAAAAGCAAGCCAGTCAAGTTCAGCCTCCAAAATCGATGTTTTCAAGATCATTAGACGAATTTAATTTTTAGATGGCCGAAAAATTATCGACGGTAAAGTGGTGCCGGAGCCGGCTGGGCGACTTTGGACTCGGGTGGGTCCAATTTTTACGGCTTTTTCTTCGGAAATAATCATGCCGAAAATAGCTTTTTCGAAATTAAAAAAAATCGGCTAAATCGGAAACGAAATGGCCGGAAAATATTAATTAAATGCTATTTTTCGAAAAAAGACGACCCTTCGAGACATATCTTTGAAAAACCACTTTCCAATCCCGCCTAAATAACACCAATTTCAGACCCTATTAAGTGGTGCGATCAACCACGCGATGGGGACCGGAAGCAATCCTGAAGTCATGGACGATGAAGAGGTAGAGGACAAGGTGGAGCAGGAGAAGGAGGAAAAGCTTCAAACCAAGCCGGAAGCTTCAAATGACGCTCAAAAAACTATCGAATCTCAAGCGGAAAATTGTCATATGGGAGAGGAATAAATTGTTTGGTTTTATTGGTTTAGCGTAAACAGGAAAATACGTAGCTCTACAAGAAAAGGCTAGGGTTGTTTTTTAGTGGGAATCGTGTTGAATGCAAATATTATGACAGTAACGTGCCTAAAGGCCGCTTTTCATGGTTTTTTAGCAGTGTTCCAAAAGCGTTTTTCCTCCTTTTTTAAAGCAAAAATTTGGATTTTATTCCGCAAAATTGTTTCTACCAGTCCCCCCCCCTCCCTTCTCTCCCTTTCCCCTTTTTTCTCTCTCTCCCTCTCTCTCTCTCCCTCTCTCTCTCTCTCTCTCTCTCTCTCTCTCTCTCTCTCTTCTCTCTCTCTTTCTCTCTCTCCTTTCATTGCAACAGTTTCTCTAGTTTCTAGTCTCCTTCTATAAATATCAAAAGACGCAGCCCCGCTCTTCTGACGTCCGCCGCAATTTCCCGGCAATTATTTGTAACGTGGAATCGAGACGCCTGGACCGGAAATCAGCTACAAATCACAGCGCCGACTAGACGGTTGCGTAATCGTTCTTTGGAGCTTTTGGAGAGCAGAAAAAGTACTCTAAGTAAAATGGAGACAAGCGTGCTTTTACTCGGAAGTGTCCCAAAATCGCTTTAAAAGTACCAAAAACCCACGCTCAAGCTCGCCAAAATACCTCATCCGATTTTCCGTTGCACTCCGCTCCACGTTTGCAGGGCGTCGATAGGAGTGACGCGGAATGGCGGGCGGCGGGTGCTGATCCCGGTCACAAGCTCGTCCTCCTCTCCCTTCCACGCATAATTCCCCATTTATGGCCCAGAACTGTACACAGTACGCTCCCGGAAACAACTCCCCGAAAAACAGCTTTTTCACTCTCGTTACATCATTTTTAGCACGAATTTTTAAAGATCAGAAGTTCAAACGCTCAAAGAATCCTATCTAGCCTGCCCATTCGCCCAAAAATACCCATTTTGGAGCTTTTGGACTTTGGGCCCATTTTTGGCCAATTGAGCACAGATCCAAATTACCTGCCGTCCGCAAACCAGAATCAAATTGCCACGTGTGGAGGGCCCCCCGAGGGGGTACAGCCTTCAAAAAAGCTGGGGGACTACGGTAGCCACGCCCCATTTTGTGTCTTTTTGATGCTTTAAATAGCGCATAAAGTTCTATGGATTCTTGTCATTTATGAAATTTCTATTAATGCGCTTACAGACTACGTTTGCTTTCTTATTCGGATGGGAATTCACGGTTACGGTAGCCGGGTCGTTTTTTACGATAATCGGCCGGAAAATCCTTATATTTACTTGTATTTAATACAGCCCCATTAATGCACAAGCAGAAATTTTTTTTGCGGTCTAAGGGAAAGAAGAAAGAAGAAGAGGGAGGAAGGAGCTGTGCCGCTTTTTCTGAACAAAAAAAACATTTCGAAAACGTTTTAATTCCATCCAATTTTTTTAAGGCTTTCGTTAATGCGTCGTCAGGGCTTTAAGATAACCCTTTAAGAGACCTTTAAGAATTCCAGCCATAATCCCGGCAACAAGAATCCCAATAAATCCAAATGACGACAGCCGCACACAATCCGCGCACCTTTAAACAGCTATTTTTGATTGTCTGGATTCGGGCCATCGATATAAGGGCTGTCGGGATTATCGCCTGTCAGTATTTTGCTCTGTCGGCAGTGTTACTGTTGGGATTCTGTTTGTCGGGATTTTGGCTTTTCCGGGTTACGGCTCTGGGAATTATGACTGTCGGGATTATGGCTATCGGGATTCTGTTTATAGAGACCCCTCACGGAATTTTGGCCTCTGGTATTCGCTCTGTCCAGATTTTCGCTGTCGGTATTTCGCTTCTCCGGCATCTTGGCTCCCGGTATTTTTGCTGTCGGTATTTTGCCTTATCGGGATTTTGATTTGTGGGGATTTTTGCCCTCGCGGAATTTGGCCTTGTGTCGTGTGTTGCTGGGTTTTGCCCTGTCGGTATTTGCGCTCTAGCGTGAAAAGCATCCGCAAGTCCGCATTTTTCGTGTACCTCATGTGCTCAGAAATCAGAACTCGCAATCCAAAAACCTACCAACCCCAGCAGGTTCAATCCCCCGGCTGGCCACAGGGCCCGTTTTGGTTTTTGCCGCGTCACGAAGGAGGTCGGCTCAAAAAATTTCTAGGGGTGGGGCATTTCCGGCGGGTTCAGCTTGTTATCGAGAAGCCGATGGATGATGTTCGGCGGGTCGAGTTGCGGGGTCTGCCCCCCTACCCCGATTCGGCCATTTCCATTGCAATTACCACAGGTTTTGTCCCCGCACTGCTATTCCATCGATTCCAAAAAGTTGTCCCGTATGTCTGCTTCATCGGCGGACCTTTTTTGGCAATTTTCCAACCCTATAAATAACTTGATAGTTCCTCCAAAGGTTCTTGAAGCGTAAAAACGGTTTCCCCATCGATTTTACCACGCAACGCGCGCGCCACTTGACCTGCTCGAAGGCGTCGTAACCCATTATGCGATGGAATCATCGAGACCTACACGTCGCTTTAAAACCAGTAAAACCCCGAAAAACAGGGCTTGGGAGGTTTTTAAAGGCTAATCATCTCTCCATAAACCGCTCTTCCAATGAATACTCCTGTGCTGCTTGAACTTCACGCGTTTTCTTCTATTTGCAAACGTCCCCCATTAGTGCATAAACTAACATCCCCGATTTTTCAGCGTGGCCCTCGGGGCCAACAGGGACGACAGCAGAAGATCAGAGTCAGATCAGGGCAGAGATGATTTCCGGAATGCAACTATGTCAGCTCGTACTCCCCGTCGCCCTCCTCATCTGCCTGGCGTCAAAGATCGGCGCCCAGGATACGACTTGTACTGATGTGAGCATCACCTTTACAAATTTCTCGCCTTAAACCCCTGTATTAGCGCTTTAGCCTGAGCGCGTTGCCGTGGCCGCGCGGCAAGTAGCTGCACTACCGCAACGCGGCCGCGACGCCGCTTAGAAATATCGGGCAAAAACCAAAATATCATTTTTAATATTCAGACAACGGCCGCGAACTGGCTGGCCTGGTCGGAGTGGTCGACCTGCTCGGCAACGTGCGGCGCGTGTGGCTATCAGACACGGACGAGGAGTTGCTTGACTACGAATCCGGCCTGTACTTGTCCGGGGTATGTGTGTACGCCTGGCTACGGTATCCGGGCACCTTTTAGTGAGTCGACGATGGTGGAGACGTGCAACCTGGCGGTGTGCCGCTATCCAGCCGCCTTTGCGTGCTGTCTGGGACAGGTATGTAGCGGAAAAGTCGTTTTAACGGGTTTCGGGCACAAGGATAATCGATGCCTTATCTTACCTAGGTCTAGACAGCTAAGTGACACCAAAAAAACTAAAAAAGCGATTGAATAAAAGCTGTTTGGGAGCAAAAATCGAGCTCTTTTCCACTCGTATTTTGAAAAGTTGCGTAGTTGTCGATCCCAAGTCAACGAAAGGGGTGGCTTTTCGCGCTTCCTAGCCCCTTCAAACGGATGCTGCGGTACATATCCGCGATTTAGACTTCGAAGGCAAAGAAAATGAAATTTTCAAGGGTTTTTGGAAGTCAGCCAAGTCGATTTCTGCAGCGTTTGCAGAAAGACGTTGTTATCCATTTGACTTCCCGATCCCTTTAAACTACATACATCCCCAAGAAACTCCAAAATCACGGCGACCAAAATGCCGACACGCCAAAATGCCGACACGTCGGGATTTTGGCGTGCCGGTATTTGCCCGGTCGTGCTTCGGGTTTCGGGATTTTAAGGTCCGGGATCTAGCCTTTGGGGTTTTTGGCTCTCGGGATTTTGGTTGTCGGTATAAGGACTGTCGGGATTTCGGTTGTCGGGATTTTGGCTGTTACTATTTTGACCTGTCGGGGTTTTGGGTGTCGGTATTAAGCCCGCCAGGATTGGGTCTGTCGGCATTCTATCTGTTGAGCTTTTGGCCGTCGGTATTACGATAAGTCGGCATTTTGGCAGTCGATATTTTGACCTGACGGGATATTTCGTCTTCCCAGTCCCTTTAAACCCAAAAAATTACTCTTCACTTCCTAATTCCAGCCGGGCCAATACCGCGGCTCTTTCGCGTGCCTCGAGGCGAACACGACGACCACGACGGCCCCAGCCGGATGATCATCTACAGTAACATCCAAAAATCTTGCGTCATTTTGTGTACAAAGTATAACACCGTCCACCTGTTGCCATTATTTATTCCAAGCACCGCCACGAGCAACACAACCGAGCACAGCCATTTTTTCGATATTTTTCGGGTTGGAGATCAGTCCGGGGGGCGGAAATTGTGTAGTTTTTAGCTTATAATTGGGCGTGGGGGGCTGGTCTACAGCCTTTTTTGAGCCCATAAAATGGGGAGGATTAGCGGGAAATGAATCAGCCGCACAGCGCGGGTACGTCTATTGGATTCTAGAGGCATTTTTGCAAAAAAATGGAGAAAATTACAGTAAACATAAGGGGTTATAAAGCGTTAGTTAGCTTAGTGACTAAACGGATGGGGGAAATAGCTAGAGTAACCCGGAAATAGGTGCAGACGGGAATCTTAGGTACTTGTGCATTATCGGAGAGGGGGGGTGTAACTCCAGAAATCCCTCGAAAGTAATAGTAAGTATTTTATAGCTTTTTTTCATAAATAATTGCATTTAAGTGAAAACTATCCAAACACTTAAAAAATTCAAGTAGCTATTTTTGTATTTTTTTAACAAATATGCATAACCCGATAATGCATAAGCACCGAATTTTACATTGTGAAATAGAAATCGGCAAAGCGAAGAAAAGCTACAAACTACAAACGATTAAAAGGGGCCGCGAAAAATACATTTTTGAGCGGATACGGTAGAGTTTTCTGCATTTTTTAAAGCAGAAATACGACCGTACCGCATCCGATACTCGGGACGGCTACAAACTACAGCCAATAAAAAATAACTGCACTCAAAAACAGAAACATTAATGAAACTCCATCCCCCTAAAGATGCTCCACGCAACTGTGCGTCAACCGCACGGGCTGGTGTTGCGTGGCGTGTCGCGGGCTCCAGACGTAGGGACGGGGCTGTGGCGAGGAGCGGGGGCTGTGGTCCGATGGACTACCAAAGCTCTCCCGCCCGCTGTCCGTCTCCTCGACGGCGAACACGGCGTTTAGAAGGCTGAACTGCTCGATGCCGGGGTAGCGCGCGGAGTGGTGCGTCGCCTGGAAATGGTCTAAATTGGTTTAGAGCTTTTTTATCTTTTTAGCGTCTTTTTGAGGGGCTTAAAATGAATAATAAATAAAATTAAAGTAAATTAGCTTTGACCCCCTCGATAACGCAAAAGTACCGGATTAGCATGCTCAGGATTTTAGGAGGCACCCCCCCCCCCCGATAATGCGAAAGATCCGAATTCGCATATTATCAATTTTAGGAGAAGATTCGCCTCCCCCGGATAATGCAAAAGATCCGACCGAATGGCCAAACTCGGAATTTTAGGGAAACTGAGAAAACGCTATTTTCCAAACGAACCGATTTGCTAGTTTCCAATCGAAGTTTCGGCAATCAAATAGTTTCCTTTTCCCCCAAATAAAACCCATAAATCTTGCAGGTGAAATCGTTACGGGATCCCGACCCCCTCTCTTTCTCCACCACCTTCCAAACAGTTCCCGGTTGTCGGGATCAACGGGTGGTCATGAGGGACAGAGTTCGGCCTCCTCCTTTCCACCACGCTCCACTCGTGTTTTCGGAAAGTTTTGGTACGATGGCCTCGTCCTCGCCCACCTCTTGCTCCTCGTCGATGAGGGCTAATCTCGAAGGATCTAGCAGATCTCGCCCGGGTCCCCCTAATCGAATTTGTGACGTTGTCGGCGTGCGGCTGGTTTGCCGCCTTTTTGAGGCTTTCGAGCGGGTCCGAAAACCCAGCCGGTTACGTCGGTGTTTTTCGAAAAAAGGTTGGCAATTGTGAAGGAGATCCTAGATATAATCTAGATTGTTTTGCAAACGGTTGGTCGGCCAAAATATTGACAAAATCGAGGCCGAGGCGTGACAAGTTTGAAGTTTTTGGCTTTTTTTCCGGGTCCGACGAGCAATTTCCGGTGCGGAATTTTGCGCCGATCACGATTCTGCATCCAGAATTTGCAGAATTTATATAGTTGACACGCTACAAGATGTTTTTGGCCAAAAGGGTCATAAAAGCGACGTCCTCACAGATTTTTAGAGCCGCAAAAAACCCAAAAATAGTTTTTAAACATAAAAAACGTTGTAACTTTCGGAACGTAAAAATTGGGCCATTTTGGGAAGCGGACTTGGAATCAGCGCGAAATTTTACACAGAACTGGCTTCTTCGCCTCAAAGACCGTTTCCTAATTTGCGCCCGAATTTCAAAAATCGAGGCTGAGGTGTGACAGTTTTGAAATGATGAAATTCTGAAGCTTCCTTGCTGTGTTTCAAGGCTATACTCACTAGGGATGTGCAAATAAAAAACCCAGCAAACCGCTTAGCAAAAATATGGGTCTGATAGAGTCGGCGACGGGGATTCCGAAACTGCAATCAGAATTTGCTAAACGCTTAATACAAAATAGTTATGAGCATTTTAAGTTTTGCACTACATTCTCAGCCCTCGCTTATGAGCCCCTCCCAAAGATGGCTGTCCGCCTGTCGAGTGGTGTAGTGGCTAACTGGCATGCCTCTGGGGCGGAGGGTCTCTGGTTCGACTCCCCGGTCATGCAAAACTTTTTGCTTTTTGGTCAAAGTCAACAACTTTAGACTTTTTCAAGGTTTCGAAGTCGAAAAGGTCGTTCTCTTAATTTTTATATTTATGAAACTGATTGCAAAGTGGTGGCGGGAGTTAGATCCGAAATTTAGATTTTTTAAAATTTTCTTTATTATTGACTGCGTCTAGGCCTGCCTTACGAAAAAATAGAAGTGAATTTGTTTAGTGCCCTATCCGCAAGAGTACTGACACTCCCGCCACCACTTTGCAATCAGTTTCATAAATATAAAAATTAAGAGAACGACCTTTTCGACTTCGAAACCTTGAAAAAGTCTAAAGTTGTTGACTTTGACCAAAAAGCAAAAAGTTTTGCATGACCGGGGAGTCGAACCAGAGACCCTCCGCCCCAGAGGCATGCCAGTTAGCCACTACACCACTCGACAGGCGGATAGCCATCTTTGGGAGGGGCTCATAGCGGGGCTGAGAATGTAGTGCAAAACTTAAATGCCCATAACTATTTTGTATTAAGCGTTTAGCAAATTCTGATTGCAGTTTCGGAATCCCCGTCGCCGACTCTATCAGACCCATATTTTTGCTAAGCAGTTTGCTGGGTTTTTTATTTGCACATCCCTAGTCAGCATTTCCGGTGTAGAAATTTGCGCTGATTCTGATCCCGCGTTCAGAATTTCCAAAATTGTCATATTTCAGGATGATTTTGGCCAAAAAATGGTGAAAAACGCACGGTTTTTCTCATTTGCTGCGAAAAACCTTTTGTAACTTTTCAAAGAGCAAAACTAGGCATTTGCCGAACCCGGATTCGAAATCAGCGCAAAATTCTGCACAGAATAGACTTTTCCAGGCCCAAAACCGTTCCCTAAACCATGTCCTAAATCTAAAATCACAAACTACAAACCCCAAAAACTCTCCAGAGCACTAGTTGCTACTACTTTCCGGGCATTACGGCTGACTCAAAATAATTTTCTCACGCGCGCCCGTGTGCGAACAAATCCAATTAACGTATTTGGGTTGTGGGGTGGCGAAAGAGTCTGGAGCGCACAAAATTGCGCGGAACTTTTCGGGAAATTGGGCACAAGAAGTGTGCCGGACAGGGGAGACTCACCTCTAAAGGTTGAGGCTGATCCTCGGGGTCGATGTGGATGCGGGTGACGAATTGCTGGTTGGGCTCTATGGGTTGTTGCTTCTCGTACTCGAAATCCTCGAGAAAGTCTTCTGAAATCGGGGTTTTGGGGGTTTCCAAGGCTTTTTTTTGGTTAATTTAATAACTTAATAAGTTATTCTAAGTTTTAATTAAATAGTAAAACGGTTTTTAAACTGTTTTTACTATTTCCAAGCGTAAAACTTTAGAATTTTTGCTTAAACTGGAGAAAAATTCGTTTTGGTCCAAAAAATGCCGATTTTCGTCCAAAATTTGGTTCCTTATAGGTTTAAAGTTTATTTAGATAATTTTTCAGTTAAAATATAGTTTAATTTTACTAAAAATGCGATTAAAATACTTACTATCACATTATGAGTCTTTTCTAGATTTCTAAGCAAAAAAATGTCGATTTTTCCACCAAAACTTTAAATTTTTAAACTCTTTAAATAGTTTTTCAACTTCAAATACAGCTAAATTTTATACAAAACGCTATAAAAATATTTTTTATTACCTGAATACCGACGCGGCGGTGCCGACATCGGGCGTCTCCCGCGCGGCAGCTGATTCCGTCCACGCGCTTTCATCTGGAAATTTCCTACTTGATGACCCAAATATCGTACCTCAGTATACCGGCGTCCGCCCGATCGGCTAGGATCGCGGACCTCGTCGTGCAGGTCGTTCATCAACACCGCCGAGTCGATGGAGGTGGTTTTGGTCAGCTTCAGCTTTGTCGACAGACGCCGGATCATTGCCATCGGGCCGGAGGCTGGAAGAAAAACGGTTTAAAGAGAATAGTTAATTTTTAAAATTTCTAAACACGGCTTGAAAATGTACATAGACATTTAGAAGGTTTAATTGCGAAATGGGGAAACCCCGACAGGCTGTCCTTGAACTTTTTGTGCGATCGAGATCCGGTACAACCAAAAGGTTTCGAAAATTTAGCAACATTAGAGTTTTCACTTTTTTATGAAACGGTGAAAAGCTCGATAAAAACGTCAAAAACATTTAAAACGTAAGCAAAAAATCGAGAAATTTGCAAATACTATTAAAATTTGAGGGTTTCATGTTTTTTAGGTTTAAAAAAAGCGATATTTTGGATAGAAAGACGCTTTTTCTGGATCAAGATAGTCTGGTGTTAAAAATCCGATAAAAAATATCTTAAAGTAAAAACGAGCCATTCTCCATCGCGTCAATCTTCATCATGCGCATCGCCAAAATCTTCGAGATCAAATCGTGCCACATTTGGCCGGTCGTCGGCTGCTCGTGCACGGCGACGCCGTCAAGGAAAACTCGGCCGTCTTTCAGGTATCTAAAAATTATTTATGTTAATTATGATTATTAACATCGAAGCTTATCAACAACTTTCCATCGATTAATTTCCAAATTTTTTCGCAAAAAAACCCAAAAACTTACTCCAACTTCTGACGCACGGGCGGGTGCCTGTAGAGGGAGGATTGCCGGGCCGCCGCGTAGAACTCGACGGTGTCGTCGCCGCGATTGATCATTCCAATCATTGTGTGAAAGCTGAAAGCGGTTTTTTGGCACGACGATCTATTGATTACACACGGACCGCAGAAACGAGGTTGGGGGCAAGTGGCAATAAAGCAAGAAATGGGGGGCTATCACGGCCGATTTTGCACCTTGTTTTCGTACGCACGTTTCGCACTCCCGGTGTAACACCGTTGGCAAGAATTCGTCAATTACCGATCGAAGAGTATAGTTAAATTCAAAAGAGGTTTGAAAATGCAAAAAATATCGATTTTTGGGTTCGTTATCGGGGGGGGGGAGGGAAAAGTTCCTTTTTCGTGTAAACTATAGTAAAATCTAGAAACATTCTGTGGTGTTTTAACAAGTTTCGGATATCAGAAAGTTATTACGAAATTTTCAACCTAAAAACGATTGAAATTTTTATGATTTTTCAGACACTTTTGACCAAAAAGCAATTTTCAAAAATTTTCATGATCATTTTTCTACATATAAAAACCCCAAAAATAAAATTAATAGCACAGCAAAAAGCATCGGACGTCCAGGCCAAACGCAGAAAAAATTTGTCCCCCTCCCGCTAATGACCCAGCTGCAAAAACACTCAAAGGCTTGTAAAACCTTTAGAAAATCACACTCCTCGCGCGAAGGCTGAAGATCTTGGCGAGCAAGAGCGATCACTGCTCTGGCTGAGTAGAGAGAGAGGGGAGAAGGAACAGGAGGAGGAGGATGGCCGAAAATGGGGGAGGAGCCCCGTCATTCAGCGAATCGGCTTCCCCAAATGCCCCCCATGGCTCTACAAACCACTTTTGCCCCCAACAAAAGCCTGCAAAAGAAGGGAAAGAATTGTCTCCCTCGCGGCGGTGGTTGGCGATGATTATGGCTTTTGATCGAAGATACGGCCTTCATGATGCCATTCGCTCAACAAAACGTCGGCCATAATTTGGGCATGGTGATCGGGGTTAACAGCCGGAAGTGAGGTTTTGCAAAGAACGTTAATCGCTAATCTGAAAGGGACGGTCGTTTGTCAAAAGCGGCTTCTTGTTTTGAGGCTCTTTCCAGCCCAAGCTGGTCTCCAAGCATAAGCTAAACTAAGCCTAAGCCTACGCATCAGCTAAGTCTATGCCAAGCCTAAGCTAGGTCGAGACAAAGCCTAAGCCAAGCCAAAATCAAGCCTGAACTGAACCTAAGCCCAAGCATCAGCTAAGCCACAACAAACCTAACCCAAGGATAAGCCAAGTCTACGTAAGGTTAAACCTAGGCCTACGCCCAACCTAGGCCTCAAAAATGTCCCCCCCCCATAACATTAATAGCTCCAAAAGGTTACCAAAATCCCGTAATATAAGTAAGTGAAAACATTTGGGCCCAAAATACTATAAAACACCTCGTTTTTGAGCGATTCCGACCCGAAAAGTAGTTTTTTGGGCGAGGACTGTAAAGTCAATCAATCTGGATCTAGCACTGTCTATAGGTGTGGGTCGTACCGTCAGTGGCGTACTGTAACTAACGGAAGTAATCGGCTTTTTAATAAGGATGCGGACGCGGCGCTCCACTAGACGTTTACGTTACATGGCAACATAAATACTACTAAATCCTAGACTGTCTGGTCGAACCCGCCCCCCACGTCCACCTCCCTTTTTCTGAGCACCACGAATTAGAGGGCCGCACGCGCGCCTCCCGGGACAGCCAGGAACAGGCCATGTTCGCTGGACGAGACCTCGACGGGTCTCGAGCATTCTGACGTAGGAACGAAAAAAACTCCAAAAAAAGGCGCTACGCGCCTGAACACTATGCTTTGTGGCCGGTGGGCAATTATGTCCAAAGAATGACTAATTTCTGGAGCATTGAAATACAGGGTGTCCCAAACCCCCTCTAGCGGTCCGTGGGAGCCTCGGATCGGTGTTTTATCCATTCGAAAGCCCGCGAAAGGCGAGAAAACAAGCGGGCTTCATTTTCTAAGATTTATTCTGATTCGTCCGTATTCAGCGTTTTTCTAAAAACAGGTGCTTTTCAATAGGAATTTCGCAATTAGCATGCGGATCTCGCGTAATCGCCGTTTTCTGGATTTTGGAGGTAAATTCGCCAATAAAAATACATATATGAAAATAACCCTCCTGTTTGCTCGCCTTTTCGGGCTTTCGATTGATACCTAACGGCGGATCGGACCGTCTGGGCGCCGCTGAGGGGGTTTGGGCCCCTGTAGTTCTGGATCCGACTGTTCGTAATTCCCCAGCTTCTAACTTGCTTATAAGGATCCTATTTCTCCAAAATAAAGAGAGGAAGTGTTTTTAAAGGTTCTTTACTATTCTTAAACGTAAACGTTCAGGCCCTCGATTAAAAAAAAACAATATCGATTTTTCGACCAAAAATGTCCGAGTTTCGTCCAAATTCTAGCTTCAAAATGCTTCGAAGTTTTTTTGAAGGGTATAAGTTATACCAAAATGTTCGTCTTGTTCTGCTGAGTATTTTGGTATACTTGACAGCCCTGTAGGATAACGAGGAGCCGATATACGGTGGCAAAGGGTCAGCTGGTGGTGTCTGCATTTAGACATAAGCTATTAAAGGCTACGGTTTACTTTACCCCCCCGCCCCCAGCCGGAAGTTTTTGGCTATACTTTTTTTTCTTATTGTAGGCTCAAATTAAACTCTTAGTATTTTTTCGACGCTCTTCGAATGGCGTTGCGAAAATCCCGATAAATTAAGCGGAAATACCGACAACTTTGAGACCCTGGGCTGTGGGGGGTAAGTAACTCTACCCTATTAAAATACAACAAAAATTTGCTTGCGAGTTTGAATCCGATCCGGTTGGCCGGGAAAAATTTGCCGAGCTGGCTTCCATTTCGTCCTTTCACCTCGGGCGATGTCCGACGCTTCCAGCCAAGAAGCTTCTGAAGAGTCGACCGATGAGAGCTCAGTGTCTAGGTATGTTTGGTGGTTAATTCCTGGAGATTAAGGTTTAATATAGACAAAATGCCCCTTTTAAATTGAATTTAGTTCATTGTCGGACGCATTTTCAACAGTCACCGCACGCGTGACATGTTCAACAGCCTCCCCCTCATGCGTGACAGCAACGTCAAACTGCTCGTCCGTCAGCTGGTCGTACGAGGGCGAAGGTGCGGACGTTTTCTATATTTTATATTGTTGAGCTTTTGCGCGTCGCACACTTACTTATTTTTGAATATTTCAAACAATTACTCTACCTTATAAAGCCTAACGAGACAAATTTTCATTCAAAAAAGAAAGAAGAAATAACGATTTTGACAAAAATGTCCGATTCTCGACTAAAATGTCGAATCTTAGGTTGTTTTTATGGTTTTCTTTTCATCAGTTTAATGGCTAAATTTTATTAAAGCACGAATAAAAAAACTGATACACGTATAGTACGTTTTGGCCGTAGAGGAGCAAATTAGGACGAGAATTCCGAAAGAACCTACTCAGAAATAACCTAGAAATCCACAGCCATGGTTATCTTGAGTTGCAGCGCCAACAACGTCGTCGAGTACAGCTTCATCGAGCGCCTCCTCCGGGGTCACGACGACGATTGGCTGCGGAGAAAATGGTTGGAGCCTCGGCTAGACTGCGGATCCCTGGCGCCAGCCGCAACCATTTTGTACCGTTTCTCGACTCCTCATTATCCTAGAGGGGTGTAAAGTCTACGAAAATACTCAGCAGACCAAGACGAGTATTTTGGTATACTTTACACACCGGTAGGTCAATGGAGAGTCGAGATACAAAAGTTCGGGGGTTGGCTGAGGGGCGGTATCTGCGGTCTTACCGTAGTCTGTAGCCCGCAACAACCCCCGATTCAGTTTTGCTGACCCTCCCTGCTGACCTCTTCGCAGATGTGATCAGTTCCCTGGATGCGGCGACGCTGATCAGCATCGCCGGCGTCAACAACGAGCTGCGAGACCGCGTCGAGCAGGCCCCGAAGCGATGGGAGTCGGCTGAAGCTGTGCATGCCGGTTACGTCATCGACTACGACTACTGCGCCTCAGACGATGCCCGAATGTTGCTGCACAACGCGGTGGTGGCTGACCTGGATGAGGGCTACATTGCCAACATGCCCGACAGGCGCGGGCTGCAGCACCTGCCCAACGAGTTGCTGCGCATCATCGCCGATCAGCTCGATATCAGGGATTTCCGTGTGGCGGCCAACGCTTTGCCGAGGTTCTTCTATGCCGGCCGAACCGATGGCTTAATGTCGGTAACATTGATGCTTTAGGTTCTTTTGCATTATCGGGGGGGGGGGCTTTTTTGTATACGTCTAGAAATGTCTAGTGTCTAGAAAGACGCAAAAAGCCGAAATTCTGTTCAAAAATCGGCGATTTTTGTTCAAAAAAATCGAAAGTTTTTATCTTTTTTAAATAGATTTTGTAAACTTTTTACGTTTAGGAATGGCAAAAAGATAATGGTAAATGGTAAAGTCAAACCCCCCCCGCTAACGAACCAGAACCCGATCCCCTTTCAGGTTCCGACGCGTTAGCGTATGGGCCAAGCAGCAGCCGGATGGGAGCGAGAAGACCGTCATCCACATCGACGGCCAGCGATATAATGACGACCTGACGGCCTTCCTCATCAACCGAGCCACCACCGTGTACACGATCATGCTCGACAGGACCATCACAGAATTGCCCGCGTTCGTCACGCGGTTTCCGAAATGCCACGAATTCGATTTTTACCTAGATGAAGTAGGCGTTTCGATTTTTTTTGCAATTTCCAGTAGTTTTACTAAATAAATTTATATTTTAACTAGGAAAACTGCCCTAAAAACCCGTTAAATTTGCTAATAAAAGCAGAATTTTGTTCAAAAAAAACCCGCGATTTTTGGTCGAAAAATCGATATTTTTGTATTTTTTTAATAAAATATAGCAACAGGTTCAGGCAAGACTGTAGACGATTTGCAGGACGTTGAAGATCCGACGTGGCCCGGCCTAGTCGATTTTTTGAAGCGACAGCGCATGGCCAATCTGACCATCAACAGCCCATGTCTGCGTGCTGAACCCCTCTGGGCTGATGTCCTTCGAAGCGGCGGATGGACGAATAAACGTCTGGCCGGCTGGAAATCTGCCACTGTACGTCATCTACAGGGTGTCCCAAAAAAAACCCCCTACCTAGCGGTCCGCAATCGATTCCGATTTTTACGATTTAGGTATCTATCGAAAGCTCTCGAAAAGGCGAGAAAACAAGGAGGGTTGAATTTCTTAATTAAAGACTACCAGAACGATGGAACGCGCACTGTCACCCCGAGGGTGCTGCCCCCAAGAACGCCCAGAGAGAGGCGTCATTAGTCGCGCCCCGTAGTGGGCAAAGGCCCTCTCGGTTTTGGGACGCCTCTGACTCCCTTCTCCACTCAGACCTGTGGTATAGTGGTTAACGCATCGGACTGTGGAGCGGACCATCGCGGGTTCGACCCCCGCCCGGTGCGCAACTTCTTGCTTTTAACGAAATTTTGATCGTTCTGACGGTCTTTAAGCCTTTTTATTTGCTAACCAGCGCCCAAAACCCGCTTCGCGGGCCTTGGGCGCTGGAATGCGGCCTTTGCATAAGAATTTTGACTTTCCGATGGCTCGGGTCCTTCGAACCCCCTCCCCCCGGCCGACCACACACGCGCGTGCAACTTGCAAGAATGAAGGCATTTCTATTTTTTCACATTATGCAAATTACCCTCAAAAATGAGTAAAACCGGCTTTAACTTTGTAAACTTGTATTTTATCAAAATTCTGAAAGCGCCATTGGAAACAGAAGGGTCGATTTCCCCAAGTGACGGAGAATTAGAGCGTTTTATGCACGGGAAGGCCCTCAAATCGGGCCTCGAAAGTGACATCCACACACACACACACAGAGATACACTCCAAAATTATATAAGGTAGGATTTTATGTCCAAAACCCATGAAAACTGCTGATTTATGCGAGATCTGCATGTTAATTGCGAAATTTCTGATGAAAAATTCCCGGCTTTTTAGGAAAACCTGAAATATCGATAGAATCAGATTAAATCTTAGAAAACGAAACCCGCTTGTTTTCTCGCCTTTCCGAGAGCTTTCGATTGGTATAAAAATCATTCCGATCCGATCCGATTGACGGCCTCTAGAGGGGGGGGGGTTTGGGACACCCTGTATAGACTAGGCAGATGAAAAAGCGGAAAGCACCTACAACGAGGCGTTTTTAGCGCGAATTGAGTTTTGCCTATGCCTATTTCGTGCAGAAATTCAGCCTTTTGCGAATTTTTCTGAGCATGATGTGCTACGAGGTTTTTCCTGCATTTTTTCTGACGTTTTTGTAGGCTTTCAAAGTTCTTTTTGGAGGAAGAAATTCCCATTTAGCAGCTTCTCAAAAGATCTTCGGAACCAGCGTGAATTTTTGCAAAAAATAGGCCTGGTCTCGACTCAAAACACAATTCGTACAAACAAACGTGCCCTTGTTAGCAGCTCGAGGTGTCCATGTTCCTAGGCTTATCGCATCGGACCAGGCGTTTAGATTCACAACGTTACCGCCGATGATTTGCGCCTGCTCACCCGATTCAACGGAACTACCCTCCGCATCATCTGGTGTCCTCATAACCCGCCCGACGAAAATCTTGCCCTTTGGGATTACATTAACAATATGGCCGATCGACGCCTCAAAATTGGGCAAGGAATTACGGTGGGTCAATTGTTCAAACGTGGTAGCCATTTCCGGACGCTTTCGAGGAGAAGACAACATTTAGGTACATTTCAACCAAGGGGCGATGCCCAATATGTCGAGCCCAACCATCCTTTTCGCCGGGAAGACGTTGAGCGCCGAAGGAAGGGGTTACTCGTTGCGTTACGTGCTGCGAGACGGGATCTTGCCCTACACAATCATAGCTCAATACGACACCCTGCGCCTGAGAAGCGTGGAGCCCCGGACTGACGGCCAGCCGCACCCGAACCCGCGTACCTATAGCTTATGAAGTAAGCGAGAATAAAGGCTGCAAGGACCTTCGGGTTATAAAAGCCATTCCACAAAAGCTCATCCTTTTCCAGATTAACGACATACACGACGTCGGCAAATTCAAGTCGAAAGGAAAAGCTGATTTATGGCCCTGTCGATGCTCTTTTTCGTCTTTCTCGTCCTTGTTAATTCTACGGCCATCGTTCTACGCTTGTGATGATTTTTGTAATGTGTTTTAATGTGTAACTACATGGTTTGAATAAAGGGAAAAAGTTAGACAACGCAAAGGATACAACGAAAACGTCGTCACGTTTGCAATATTCATTCGATGGTTGATTGAAGCACCCATTTTGCACGTTTTGAATAAATGTGTCGACCGACGAATGAGTAGATTGGCTGCTAAGATTGGCGGAACAAGAATGAGATTTTGGCCCTTATTTTCCGCTGTAACCCGTAGCTTTGCCCATGAATCTGTCTGGGTGAATGGTCTTCCGGGGAATCGATGATTGGGAACAAGCTTTCGTCAGCTAAAACTCTTGATTTCTGAGTTTTCCTCAGTTGGCCAGATACTTTCGTGTCACGAGACTTTCTGGTGTCACATTGGTGAGCCGCCGATTTTTGGTGACACAATGGTTTTGGGCTTCGTGTCACCATGGATGAAGGGTTGGTGACACAATGGTATGAATTCTCCGTGACACACTGGTGTCAAGTCTGGTATCACCATCGTGAGGACCAAGTCTCGTGTCACCAGGCCACTTTTTTCGGTGTCACCATTCTACGAGTGTTGGTGACACCATGGTGTGAAATCTCGGTGACGCCATAGTACAGGGTCAGTGTCACAGCTGTTTCAGGGTCCGTGGCACAATCGTACAAAATCATGGTGACACCAGGGTGTGGGCCCGGTGTCACCATAGTGTGGCTGGAGATTGCCTCGATTTGTAATTAAATAAAATATATTTATTTTAATTATTTTAAGCATAGAAACACTATGAAATCGCTATAAACAAAATAAGTTGAATTTTTGTAAAGAACCGAGTCGATCAATTCCGAGTATTTCAATTAAATATACATCTAAAGCCTCGGAAAATTTCGAAAATTTTAGGTTTGGTTGAAATTTTATTTTTAATTTTTATTACATGGCGGCGTTTGTATATAAATACATACGCTGAAATCAACCTGTTACTATCATCAACTATAATAAAAAAGTAGCGGTGTCCGTCTGTCCGTCGTGTCCCGGATTCAACTCGAAGGGGAAAGGAGCTAGAGCTTAGGTCTCTTCGGATTCGGATAGAGCGTGGTCAGAAACCCCCAAACTGATCAAAAAATTATGAAAAAGTTTTAGTTTAAATTATTAAAATTAACTTTGAAAGTTTTTCCCTTACAAGGGAACCTCACGGAGACATGGTGGAATTTCGGAAAACGCTCGCGGCTACCCCGGGTAATCGGCCATTGCGATCACAATGCGCTTGTCAGATTTTTCTAAATAGACCTGTGGATAGAGATACAGCACTTCCGGAAAATGCTGATTTACATGCAAAAAATTTGCATAGAAGGATGGTTTATAAGGCTCTCCCATCACTATGGAATCACCAGTTGAATGGCCGAGTGGTAAGCGACTCACTTGGTAGGATGCTGACGAGGGTTCGAATCCGCTTACGATTTTTTGTTTTTGCTTTTTGGCCAGAGATTTTTGTACAAGTCCAAAATCATACGTGCTAACGTGCTAACGTACTTATAAATTTTATGACATTTGTCGACGTTACGTGGTCAGAAAATTATTCTTGTGAAATTTTTTTCATTTTTTGCAGATGGTCAGGTGTAGGAACTCTAGCCGGCAGAACTGATTTTCATTTTTCGATTTTTTTTTTGCCTTTAATGGCTAAACATTAGGGATTTCGGGCTATTACTAGTCACATTCTCGGCTTACAAAAATCTCTGGCAAAAAGCAAAAACAAAAAATCATGAGCGGATTCGAACTCTCGTCAGCATCCTACCAAGTGAGTCGCTTACCACTCGGCCATTCAACTGGTGATTCCATAGTGATGGGAGAGCCTTATAAACCATCCTTCTATGCAAATTTTTTGCATGTAAATCAGCATTTTCCGGAAGTGCTGTATCTCTATCCACAGGTCTATTTAGAAAAATCTGACAAGCGCATTGTGATCGCAATGGCCGATTACCCGGGGGTAGCCGCGAGCGTTTTCCGAAATTCCACCATGTCTCCGTGAGGTTCCCTTGTTAGTAAAAGGGGTCGGGGACGGAGGTTGGGGTGATTTTGGGCATAGTGAGCCAGGTCGCGCGCGTTTCGTGGATGAAAATTTTCACGGGGAATTTCATTTCTTTTTTCCCTCAATCCATCCGGTCGGTCGTTATTTTTGTTTTTGAAGGGGATTTCGGCTAGGGGAGGTATCTGAAGCCATCAGGAAGGTATTTAGGTAGTTTTTGAAGGGGATTTCAGACATGGGGGGTATCTGAAGCCATCAGGAAGGTATTTAGGTAGTTTTTGAAGGGGATTTCAGCCATGGGGGGTATCTGAAGCCATCAGGAAGGTATTTAGGTAGTTTTTGAAGGGGATTTCAGCCATGGGGGGTATCTGAAGCCATCAGGAAGGTATTTAGGTAGTTTTTGAAGGGGATTTCAGCCATGGGGGTATCTGAAGCCATCAGGAAGGTATTTAGGTAGTTTTTGAAGGGGATTTCAGCCATGGGGGGTATCTGAAGCCATCAGGAAGGTATTTAGGTAGTTTTTGAAGGGGATTTCAGCCATGGGGGGTATCTGAAGCCATCAGGAAGGTATTTAGGTAGTTTTTGAACGGGATTTCAGCCATGGGGGGTATCTGAAGCCATCAGGAAGGTATTTAGGTAGTTTTTGAAGGGGATTTCAGCCATGGGGGTATCTGAAGCCATCAGGAAGGTATTTAGGTAGTTTTTGAAGGGGATTTCAGCCATGGGGGTATCTGAAGCCATCAGGAAGGTATTTAGGTAGTTTTTGAACGGGATTTCGGCTATCGGGGGTATTGATGGAAGTGGGAAAGGATGTGGTGGAGTGTGACATGTAGGTTTCGGCTAGGGGAAGTATCTAAAGCCATCAGAAAGGTATCGACGTAGTTTTTTAAGGGGATTTCGGCTAGGGGAAGTATCTAAAGCCATCAGACAGGTATTTAGGTAGTTTTTGAAGGGGATCTCGGCTAGGAAAGGTATCTGAAGCCATCAGGAAGGTATTTAGGTAGTTTTTAAACGGGATTTCGGCTATCGGGGGGTATGGGAAGCCATCCGGAAGGTGTGGTAGTTTAGGTAGCTAAGTTTTTGCAGGGGTTTGGCCATAGAAGGTATCTGAAGCGAGCAGCGTGGCTATTGATGAAGGTAGAGGTGTAATGTGGTGGTGTATAACATCGAGGGTAGCCCGAAGGCCAGTCGATTACAGTCGCGAAGCGACTGTAATCGGCTGGTCAATACTGCCAAAACTGATAGCTGGGTAAAATGATCCTTAATATCATGAGAAAGTAAATAAATCGAATTATATGTTTATAGGATAAAATATTATTATTAACGTAAAATAGCGTATAGCAAGCTTTTTTAAGGGCCGCTCCATAGTTTTTGATGTTTGGTGACACATTGGTACGGCTAGGTACGCGACACTACTCAGTCCACTGCTACCACGTGCGCCCTTCGCATTTGAAAATGCATCGGCTGGCTCAAATTTTCTAAGTTTGCAACGTTGAAACAATAAATATGATAAAACTTTGTAGTTTACAAGGTTAAAACCTTGATATCTTTGATATTAATGTATATTGCGATGTTTAGGCGATATTTGTTTAGAAAACCACTCCCGAAGACGCCGGATTCGATGGTAAAAGGTGCGTGTTTGGTGTTTTTGTGATACTTATTTGTTTCTAGGTAACCTTCGCAGCTCGAATGCTGCTCCTGGATGATTGAAGACCAGAATTACGTCCGGAGATGGCTTCTTTGGCGAGGTTTGTGTTTAGTTTCTCCGGTTTTGGCTTCCGCACTTCGTTTACTTTGTTTCAATGTCAGTGACAAAGCCACGGGCGCTGCAGTTTGTCAAATTAGAAGGTTTCGTTGAATTCTCTGCTATAAAACTTCTGTTATCTTCCCTTTTCAGTTTTGTGCTTGCCCGGAATGGATGGCTTCACGATGCTAGTGCTGCCTGTATGTTTCTCTTTGTCTTTTGAGCCTTTTTTAGGTGTTCAGCAAGGATCAGCGTCGAATTTCCGATGGGCTGATTTACACGATGACGGTGCTCTATGGGTGTTTTGGTAGCCCGGTAATTCCTGTCTTTGGTACACTTTTTCACAAATTCAGTTTAGATGGCACGCTGGGACAACGTTGCTCGGCGCATATACCTCTGTACATCTTGGGTAGCTTGGTATTAGCTTTTCCTTGTGTTTATGATCTGGAATTAAGGTTGATCTGTGCGCACGCTATCGACGTCGATGGCTGATGTTGGAGCTGTAACGAGGAGTTATGCTGTCTTTGAAAAGTATGGGTTTTAACACTTTAAGTGCTAGTTCGCTTGGCTTCTATAGTCTATAGTTTACCGCGCTGCTAGTTTTTCATCACAAAATTTGATTATTTTAAAAAACTGCCGTTTTGAGCCTGTTTTTGTCACTTTTGCTACATTTTTAATAAAAAAGTAAACTTTTCCCAACCTTTGCAGTCTACAATATGATTCAATTGACGGCTCTTCGCAACTTAAGAAAATTTAACTTGCTGCCCCGCTAAAAGGCCGCATTAAATCCCTACTTTCACAATATTTTGACGTTTTATTTTAGACGAGCTTCTTCTGATGTGGCGTCGCTGATGACGTCGACTACATTCCTGGGTTTGGTATTACCTTAGAATGGAAATTATCCGTAATTTTAGGCAGAGGGCGATCTTCTTCATTCAATGAAAAGTGAAAGCGAATTGGGCGATGAATCACACTCTAAAGGTTCGCGTTTTTTGACCCATTTATGGTTTTGTGTTTTGAACCCTTTAGGAAACTGAAACTATTGCGAGATTGGTTAACAAAAGTTCGCCATTTTTTTGTTTATTAAGGGCAAAAACACTTGCGCCGGATGAAAAGGCACCACGCCTAAAATCAAAATAAATCAGCGTCTTGTTTTACAAAACCTTATTCATTAATCTGGTACTGTTCTATTTTGCAGGGAGCAAAAAATTCGCTCGGAATATCAGGCTACGTTTTACTTTTTTCCGTTACGTACGCTACGTTTTTTCCAAGTTCTTTTGATGCCATTTGATAACTTATCGAAAAAAAGCTAAATTTTTGAATTGCGCGTCAAAATATCTTTTTTATAGCAAAATTTAGAAACAAATAAAACTACTGTCTTAAAACTTATTTGGGAAGCTAATTTTCGTCATTTTGTAGGCGCCTGTTAATGTAGCGTCGAAAAATATCAAGAGTTTTTTATTTTAGCTCAAAATGACGTAAAGTAACGCCAGAAATCATCATAGCGATTATTTCCCTGGGCGAAATAGAACAGTACCATTGATTATCGTATATAATCTTATTTTAAGTAATGAATTGGTAACGAATGAGTCTAAGTTATATTTAGACATGGCCATCATTGCGTGATCATGGAGTTCGATATTGCTGCTTGGTAAAGCTATGGCGAAGATAACAAGGAAATGTTACAGGTAAAGTTTCAGAGCGAATGGAGCTCTAAGGTATGTTTTTTTTTCCTTTTTTTTGGCAAAGTTTTGCTCTAAAGATGTAATTTTCACAAAGTTATTCCCCGTAGGACTTATTAGGGACTGGTATATTATAATAAAACATTTTAAACGAGTAGTTTACGTAATTTCATAGTTTATATATAAATTCCAGTATATTTCCTATTACGGGAATATACTGGAAAACCTAAGCCAATTATTATGTAAAACCATGGTGACACCAAGCCCACACCCTGGTGATACCGAACCCACACCCTGGTGACACCGGGCCCACACCCATGTGTCACCAGGGGGCGTACATTCGTGCGCTTCCCGTGTCACTTACAACTTTTGGTACAGTGACACGGATGTGCGAAATCTTGGTGACACAAAAGTATCTGGCCAACTGAGTCGAATCCTATTCGGAAAATTAGTGAAATTGTTGACTGTAGCTTTGCGTTCCGCCGTGATACTATGCAAGCGGGGACAACGTGGTCTCGCGAGAATGCATGATCACATGCAAAGAACGCAAAGAAAAGAACAAATTTATAATTTCAAGGTTTTCACAAGGTTCAATGTCATCCGTTCGGAGGGCAAAACCCTTGAATGAATGGCTGACGGAAGCGACGGAGACTTTGCAGCCCTATCTGCACGCCGAAGTGAGCAATTTACACTGTGCATTTTGATCTTTAGGTGTCCGTGGTTTCGCTGATCGGCCGAGACACGTTCCTGGCGCGCAAGTCGAACGAGCTGAACAATGCTCTTGGCGCAAAGATCTTCGATTCATACGCAAGCGGAGGAGGATCATCGGTTTGCATCCTTGATCCAGTTACCCCTTGCTCAGATCGACGTGTACTTTTCACTCGACGAAGGCTCCATTTTCTTGGTGCTCAACGGCTTCAATGATTTACCAGACCTGCTACAAATGCTCGAAGGTGCGGCGGGAACGGTAATCCTGCAGTAGTGAAAATGATAATAAAGTTTTCAGCCGTTCTTCGAGACGATCGGCAACGCTGAGAAGCGATACCTGCAGTTGTTCACATTCATCAGCGTCGTCTCGCACCTGATCCTGTTCGTTGAACAAGGCTGTCGTTTCGATGTTTCCTTGGCAAGGACTTTGAAAAGTGTCAACAAAATGAGGTAGTACTAACAAGTTTTCACGACTTATCATTTGTAGAATTGCGACGACCAACTCTATCTTGAAGGTTTTACCCAAGAACCTGCTGAAAGCCAACCCAGAATTAGATAAAGAAGGCCGTTTTGCCGTGCCACGGTCAGTCGAAAAAGGCCTCATGTCGAAACGAAATTTTAGTTTTGCCTTCGCCTTCCATCGGAACAAAATTAGGCAAGACCTTGGCGCAACGAAGAAGGTAATATCGTGAGTAAAATAGATCTATTTTTATATAGAGAGAACTCTACGAGAAGTTGGAGGAAAACCTGGAACAGCAAATCTACAACGTGTTTAAATTGTTGCGGCTTATCGAGAATAGCCATAGGTATGGGCCTTTTTCGAAGAAGAATGTTTTTGTAGGGACAACATGCTGGGATACCTGCCTGGCAAAGCTCCGTACGCTCAATTATTGCCGCCGGAGACGATAGACCACGTTACTGAGTCGCTGCTCATCCTCGCCGGCGATAGAAAGGAGACTGATGTTGAAGAGTCAGGTTGGGATTTATCCTCGCTGTCGATATGTTTTTAGAATTCCCATTTCTTCATTCTTTACTTGATGCTATCAGGGCGCCCGACGAAGAGCACATTTTTTTGGTAGTTGTTTTAATTTTGGCTTTAACATTTCGTAGCGTCCTCGCCTCGGACAATTCATCTCCGTGGCGAAAGCCATCCTGCCGGTAATCCTGGACGATGATGCGGTACAGAAACGAAAACTCGATGGGTTTTTGAACCGGGAAGCTCGATTTATTTCGAGGTAAAAATTTTGTCTTGCACCAGCCCCTTTTTCTAGCGTTTCCGAGAAGGCACTCGAAGAGGCAATTCGTGAATACGAAAAGGAAGAGGCTAATCCAAGGCATGCTCGCGCGAAATCGGCAATGGCCAGCGGGAAACTGTTTACGAAAGCCGAGCACGATAAAAGGGTTCGTTTGTTGCATACTAAAAAATTAAAAAAATTGTTTTTAAATAGAATTATATCTTTTTCACTTAATTCTTGATTTATAGTTTGCCCGAGCGGTCAGCTACCTGAAAAGCGTGGCGCCAGGTGACGCGAAGCCGCTGATCGACAAGCTGCAAGATGAATGCGCGGGCCGCTGGCAAATGGGATGTGATGTCGTCTCCCTGACCGGTTTACCTTGCGAATTAACGGTATGATTTCGAGTATGTTCGTAAGGTATATTTGATGAAATCCCGGATTTGTTAAAGGTTAATATAGAGTCATTTTAGGCCCATCCGGCGGCCGGTGATATTACTAAAGACCGCGATGAATGGACCCTGCACTACTCAGCGGCCCGACATCTCCACACATGCGGATGTGGGCTTCATCAGGCGCTGCGCAACGACCCATTTTCGCTGAAGGTTTGAGTTACCATCAGTTAAACTTTGTGTTCAGGACGCAAACTACGATTTCTATATGGAAAATGCCAACTTCAAATGCGCTTCTACGATGGACATGCACAAATTTAATGTTCTGGAAGAGAGGGACGCTGACGGGGAGTTGGACACTGGCGAATGGACGGCGGCTAGGCCCGAGCCAAGGTTATTTTTGTGAAATTCCTAGGCGGGCGAGCATATCTTCGAAAATCAGCTCGGAAAAATGCCTTTCTGACAAGCGCCTTTTTTTCGAAAGGTCTGCACTTTTAAAGCCAGAATTTTTAATTGAATTTCTATTTCTGCCACTTGTATATTTTTCCTGTCGGTAACTGGAAGCAAATTGCTCGAAATTCTTAATTTTGAAGAGGTTAATTTCGAAGAAAACTGACGAAAACTGAAAAATTGTTCCGAAAGGGTTAATTGCGAAAAATCGCTTTCGAAATGTGGTTTTTCGAAAATCCCCATGAAAATTCTCTGAAATTCTGGCTTCAGGCTGCTGATCGATTGTCGAGAAACACGCAGCGGATCCCAGGAGAACGGTTCGGAACCCGACGAGCTGGACGGCGTCGTCAACAGCGATTTTTCTGATCAGGTTCTGAGCGGCGGAAACCCGATTATTTGATCTTTTGTAGGAACCAAAAGCGCCCTCGTTGGATGAGGGGCAGGGTGCCGCCGAGGAAACGGTCGAACAACCCAGCGTTCGATGCGACGAAGAAGCGACCGTGTCTCGTGAAGACAAGAAGGGACCGCGCGCCTTGATATGCAGCTACGAGGAGCGGCGCAGCAATTTGAAAGCCAGAAATGTTGGTGGTTTTTTGGGTCGTAATTATAGGATGTAGATCTTAGATTTAAGATATGTAATTTTAGGTGGAATTTTGCGACGGAGTACCCCACACGCTGATGCCCGGCCTTCCGCTTTTCCCTTCTTGGCAGCTGACAGTCGTTGGAGCCAGCAATTCATACTCGTGAGGAAAATTCTCGTTTTTTTTAATTTTTTTAGGCACTCGTATGGTCTGCGTGATATGCCAGGATTCCGACCGGGCACTGACTATCTTTTACCCTATGACGTCTATTTGGAGGTAATTTTGTTGCGATAATTTTAAGAGCCATTTTAGGTCGACTCGGCATGCTGGACCCGGGATCTGAACTACATGCAGCAGGGGAATTCGAGCGAAGCTGCCCGGCATAAGAGTCGACGGAGGGCCGGCGGGGCGTCGGTGGAGAAGGTAAAAAGCATAGCTTGGCCTGGAAACCATCTTTTAGGTGAAGCTCTTCATCGGCTTCGAGTACGAGTGCCCGAAAGGTCATCGCAATTTCCTGGGCGGTGACCTCGAGCCGGTCCCTTTGGCTAAGGTAAATTTTCAGCTTGCTTATGGCAGCCTTTTTCACGCTTTGTTGATGTGCTTTTACGCAGTTCAAACTTTGAAACTTTTCGATTTTGCGTGAAATTCATCATTTTAGGGTTTAAAAAATTGTATTTTGTATGTTAATAAAACAAACATAGTTTACCTTACTTTCCTTCAGCCAGAATGTGAAAGTACCCTGTTTTAAAACTCGTGATTCTAGGGTACCACGGCAAAAGAGATGATTCCAAAGGACGCCGCTGAACAATTGCTCTCGAAAGTGCTGCCAATCTGGAGGCCGTGCACTTGCCGGTGGGTAGCTAAAGGTTTTTTTTTGAATGATTTTTTTAGGTCTACGGTAATTGGGCAATTGATGCGCGTCCACATTGTAACACCAAAAGCCCCGGTGCAGGTGACGATCGATCCGCACGTACAGGTGACATTTTAGTATAAAAGTGGTATAATATCTGATTTCTAGGTGGGCTCTCCAGAGGGTCACTTTTGCACTGGCGAAGGTCCGTTGGAGCTCGGTTGGGCAAAGTAAATGAATTCACAATTTCTATAAAAATTTCTGTTATAGATATTACGTGCTTCGGCTACCGTACATCTACTCAGGACTCGATGGCCCAGTTCTTCCACCATCCGAGGTACCAGAAGATATTATTTGTTATCGGAACGTCGAAATTGATAATGCAGCAATTTCCCTCGTATTCCGCTAATTGAATTCTATGCAAAAACAAATCGTGATTTAGACATTTCGGTATTAGGAGAATTCGGGATTACGAATGTCGGTATTATGAATTTCGACATCTGGTGGCTTGATTGCTAAATTCGGCATTTGGAATGTCGATGAAAGCAAATCTCGGCATTCTGGCATTCGACATCATGAAATTTCGACAGTGTGAAATTCTGGATTGTCGGCATTTTTTTATTCGCGCCTTTTTAGGTGGGCTCGTTCGGGCGTTTCTTCGCCAACAGCATCAAGGTCACCTACACCCCGTTCTCCTGGATGTAAACTAGCTTCTTTCCAGCGTTCCTTAATGTAATGTTTGTTGAACATGTAGGAAATAAATTTGATTAATTATTAATGGCACCCTCCTCGAATGGGGCGTTTATTAGGGTGATGTACAGGGCGGCGAGGTTAGTACTTGTGGGGGACGATGTAGTCGATCATGCCGAGGAAGAACTCGGTGGATGGGGGTAGATGACCGGATGTTTCTGTTGCTGCCGTCTCGTCGTCGCCGGTGAATATCCGCCTATTTTAGTTTTTTTTATTACACGAAATTTTTGTCTGCTGCTCATTTTTCAGTGAATTACCTGATGCGTTGATGAACATTATCAGCGAGATGTAGGAATGTGTGGGAAAGGGTGTTGGCCTAAATTTTTGAGGGTGCTTTTGCATTATCGGGGGTGGACGTCAACTTTTTATATAAATCGAGGACTTGTTTATCGTTTTTTTTAGTAATGCTAAATTTAAAAACTCCAGTTTTTTGTTAAAACACAGATATTCGACGGAAATCTCAAATTTTAGAGTTTCTTTTTACTTGAAATACGTAATTTTTCTCATAAAATAGAGGAATCCTTGCTTTCTACCAAAAAATATCGACTTTGAACAAAAATTTCAAATTTTAGAACATTTTTGTATGTTTTTTGGATAGTTTTTCGAAGTATATGACGAAATTGAATAAAAATCATTAAAATAATGCGTTTCTAGGCAGAGCTCGATCAAAAGACGCCCCCCCCCCCGATAATTCCAAAGAAATTTTTACAGGTTATCTTTCGGAATAGATTCCTATAAATCAATGTAAAATTTTAATTTACCTTTACGACATTATGGCAAGACGCGTAAATGCCGTTGACGAAAATGTCGCCGGAGCGCGTCATCGGCGCGTAGACGCCCTTCTCCTCGACGACTTCAAGGTGGACGATCCGGGTCGGGTGTACAGCTAATCAACGTTTTCCAGTTGATTTGCTATTAATCTACCTCGATCGGCCCCAATCGCGTATACGCAATCCCCAGTTTTCAGCATCTCGGCGAAAATCATCTCCGTGGCGAACGTCAGGCCCGAGCAGTCCACCTGAAGCTCAGAGGGTTTCAATGCAGATTTCCAAAGCTCAAGCTCACCCGGTAGATGAAGTGTTGGGGCGTCAACTTGAGCGTCTTTTCATCCTGGGTTCTCAGCTGCACAAAATAGGCCGTGGTGGAAGGCAGGCGATGCAGCCAGGAGTCGACGCGGGTGAAGGTTGTCTATTTTGAGAGATATCGATTTTACGCCAGGTTTTTACCGTATTTTGTTCAGCCGTCAGCACTTGTTCGCCTACTCGAAGCTCGTCCATTCTTTTGAAGCCGGAACTGGTTTCAACCTGAAGGGGTTCTAAGGGTGCGGAAAAGTTTCGGCGGACACAAAAATTTTCAAGATGAGCTTTCACTAATTTTTTTGGTGTCATGATAGATTGGGACAATCCATCCAATTTCATGCCAAATTAATAGTCAGCTAAATAACCGAGCTCGGAACACCGATGCGCAGGCGAGTTTCGAAATTGGCACCATTTGCCGTATAGAAAGCGCGGTTAAAATTCCGTGGCAGACTACCAGGCTCCGAGTTTCGGATTATAAAGAACAACCCCTTAGCATTATCCATATCAATATTATTGCTTGTCAACAGACATGGCGAATTCTCAGGGGTTTTGGCTGCAAGGCGGCACGTGCCAAGGCTTTAGAATGTTCAGCACCGCTAAAGCTGTTTCCACGTTGGTACAGCACGTTTCTTTTATTTAAGGGGTGTCGGTTGAATATCAGTACGCTAAATCCCATTAGCAAGGCCGTCTCTTCGGATTTTGTGATTACTGGCAGGAGATTTCCCGTCTCGACCAAAAATTCCCAAAATTAGAAGCGTCATAACTCTTTCGAATTGAAGCAAAATTTCTTGAGGTTTTGTGGGAAGATAGACCACAGGTTTGGCAACATCTCTACAATTTTGTGCCTTTGACCAAGGATAGCTCGCAGGGGTACTGTAACATCAACGAAACAACAGCGTGCCGGGGGCGTCTAAGATGATCTTTCGGTCGTTCTAATCGGGTATCTTTGAATTTGGGTAATCCGTCGGACTTATGATCCATGAGTCTTCCTTTCCAGCCTCGAATCCAAATCTGATAACCTCTAGGTTTCGAGTAACAGAGTTATTTGCCCCGCCGAAAACTTTCTCCGCACCCTGTATAGTACTTTCGCGTTATCGGGGGACGAAACCTTTTAAAGTAAGTCCGGAAATTTCTAATTACATAATAGTAAGAACTTTAATCGGTTTTCTTAAAAGTTAACGATTTTGTAAGTGGAAAATCCATCTCAAAACTTAGAAAATTTGAAATTTTGGCCGAAAATCGGCCATTTTTTGTCGGAAAAATCGATATTTTTGTTTTGTTTGGCAAAAGATGTTTGGATATTTGCAGTAATTGCAAAAAAAGGATTAGAAACACTATTCTATTGAGTTTAGGAAAATTTGATCCAAAGGACCCCCCCCGATAATACCAAAGCACCTACTTACCAGGGTATCACCGGTGAAACAGGCCGGAATACCGGAGGATACCGGATAATAGTATCCGGGCGATTGAACTGGTACAACCTGCTCGCCGACCTGAAAACGTTCAGACTTTCGTGCTGAGCACCGGTGTTGCTCCTTTTAGTTTTAACTTAAACTTTTGAGCTTAAAAATTCAATTCTAAGACCTTATTTGAAATGAGGAGAACATAACAACTATGGGCTATGCATGCAGTCATACTTGTTCCTCGGTCTCGCTCTCCATAAGGTGGGACGTTACTCTCAACGGCTTCCTCGGCTAAGCGGGTTTAGGAAGTTTACCTTGTTAGGTTTAAGCTTCTCTAAGTAAGATTTTCTTTAGATTAATTTAAAAATTAGAGAAGCATCATTTTTAATTAGTTTTTAATCGTTTAATAAATCACTATATCCGTTGGCGTATCTCGATAGAAAAAATGTGGTACCTGAACGTATTGATCCCGTTCTACGTACTGCTGTGGCTGCGGGGGTGGGGCAGCGTCGGCTGGGGGCGGCTGGGCGTAGGAGGCGCTCGGCGTTTGGTAGCTGGCCGGCGACTGCAAGGAGTTCAGGTTTTTAATCTTCAATTTAAGCCCGGATAAACTGAAAGCGCGAAACCGAGGTTGTGCTGTGAAAGGTGCCATTACTGGTACTGTACTGTGAACGGGGGGGGGTGAAAGATATACGGCCTTTTCAAACAACCTAAATTTTTTGCGTTTTGTACCGTATTTTATAGAGTTTTTGATCGCGAAAAAAGCGCAAAAACAACTTCTCGAAATTTCAGGAATTTTAAAATTTTCAGGAATTTCAATATATTTTTACCAAAAAATTCACTACCCCCCCGCTAATAGACCAGCAGCCGGTATCTTGTGTAGTTTTCCGCGCACATGCTCTGATATTGGAAATTAAGTTAATTTTGGCGGTATTAGTAAAAAGTATAGAACAAAATGGACTCACTTTTCTTACCTGCGGCCCCTCATCCATCGCGGAGAATTCTTCGGTTGGCGCGCCGGCGGCCGAGGCTTCGGATACCTTATCGAGGATTCGGGAGATGTCGCTGGGCGCGATGTTGACTGAATTTTCGATAATTTGAAGTGACCTGTCCACTAACCGTCATTTTCGGATTCTGGCGGATCTGGGATGCAGTTCATCCGGGTAACCGTTAGCTCGTAGGCAATACTAAAGGGGTATTTGGTTATGTTTTTAGAAACAAAAATTACCACACAAAAAGACGAACAAAAATAAAAATAAAAATTACCCTCCGTCATCCACATCGATTCGCTTGATGTTGGTGATCAGGTCGAAGCCCGTTTGACGACCATCTCGGATCACCTCGCCTAAACACGACGTTTTTCGCAAGGAGGATCTCACAAGGTGCTTTTTTGAGGGGATAATGGAATTTTTCGATGCTTTATAACTCCTTCGATAGAGCTGAAAATTCTGAACAAGACCCTTTTGAACTGACTGCGATCGAAAATTTCTCAAAGTTTCAATTTGTCGAAGACGGTTATCATTCAGCGGTTTTTAAAATGCGGAATTTGTTAAGAATTTCAAGCTCTATCTAATGTGCTATGTAACATCAGCAAAATTGCCGTTCGGGCCTTAAAAAATTTTTGAAAACCCATTTTTACCTCCGGAATAAACCTCGGCGGGTCTGACGACCGGTCGGCCGACCTCAGCAGCAAATTTCAGGCCCTCATAACGGCAGCATTGAAGTGACAAGCTAAAATTAACGTCAAAATCTCCAATCAAAGTCTTACTCTCCGTTCGATTTGGCCAAGAAGCCTCCAACCCACGACAGCGACCCGGTGCACGAAGAAGAGCCATATCCGGTTGGGCACTCGGCTTGTTGCGCTTCAGCGTCCTAAAAAAGAGGCTAGGATCGAACCTCGAAGACTCACCCGATACCGCGAGCGGACCCTCGTCAAATCGCCCTCCCGCATGAAGCCATCCTCGCCCTCGGGGCCCGGCTAAAAAGTTGTTTAGTTTTCGTTCGTTTGTTCTAGTTTTTCCAAGGGGAAAGCGCAATTACACAAGATTTTGAGCGCGTTTTAGAGTCCGGAATTTGCCGAGAATGCCTTCTAAAAGCGCTGTAACTTTTCAGGGCTATTTTTAGCGGCAAACAATCGAAAGCAATTTCGGGCCAGCGAATGATTGTGGATTTGATATTTTAGGCATTATTTCGATCTTTTTCTGCTGAGAAATCGCTCACATTGAATTGGGCATCGTGTAGAACGCGCGTGCCGCCCGCCTCAGCGCCGAAACATTGTGGTGCAGCACAGCCGAGGACGGGCTGGCCGGAGGGTAGCACCTAGAAAAAAGTGTTATTCGAAGAATCCTCGGCATACCTCAAAACGGAATGGGACTCCCGAACCACCACAAGTCGCCGAAAGGGCGGCTCCACTGATTGCTGCTAACAGCAAGACGGTTCGCATTTCTAAATTAATTTTTAGAAAACTTTT